TACATTAGTAGTTGAAACTTAAATCAAATAATTTTAAACAAGAATACCTTTATTGTTCTTCATAACCTTTAAAATAGTTAAATTTAGACTAGAAAATCTCTTACATAAAAAATTAATCACACAACTAAGTTTGAATAAATTAGATGATTCGTTTAAGTATTTTTAAATATCAAAAAGAGTACTTTTGTTAAAGTCATGATCTTTTTTTAAAGTCATCGTATTTCAAAATACCCAACTTCCTTAAAATTATATATTAAATGATCCTTGTTATTAATTAAATTTATCACATATCATAACTAAAAATGACTAAATTTCACGATTATTCATATATGATAAATAATAGTGCTTGAAATCTTTTGTAAGTAGAAGTTTAACATTTTCAAGTTTTACAAAATAACTATTTAGCTCCTTATGGCAATTCATTTGTCCATTCTTAGGAATTACAGAAGTGAAAGGAAATTAATTGTACAATTCCAAGAATTAAAAGGATAATTCCTCTATACTATTGCACAAGTGTAAGTATTTAAAAATGGCAAAAGAACACTGTTGTAAATATCTTTCATTTCTCATTTTTCAGTCCTAATCACTTTTAGTAAGACTCTAATCACAATAAATTTCCCTTTTATATTATAATCTATAGTTACTTTTAGTCTTCTTATATGTATTTTTACAAAATAAAATTAATAAAGATAATTTGGATAAATGATTTTTTCAAAACATAAATGCCTTTTAAAATTTAATTCTAAATTTAGCATGGTATTTTTTCCTCTATTAAAAATTAATAATTTTAATTTACAATATAAAGAATTAAATATAATTGAACTATTGGATACAACTTAAGATTTTATTACGAAAATATTTTTATAATTTAATATAGAAGTGAGGATTAAAATCCTGAAAATATATATATTATATGAATAATGATGAATTTGATTTTAAATATTATATAATACATATAGATAATCAAGATGAAAACAAATCATGCTTTTTTTATTATAAATCATTTTTGAGTGAATGAAATTTAGAAGTAAAATAAATTAAGAATTAGAGGATTTCTAAATTTTATCAGTTCGATTTATACAATCAATATAAAGATAAAATGACTAAAATTAAATTATATTTATGCTTGAGACGATAAGTTTAAATAATGATGGAATTGATTTTGAAAACCAATTAAATATATTCTAAGTTTAAAGATATTTGAGTTAGTTATTCTTTTTTTGAGATCCTATTAGTAAATAAATAAAAACTGAATGGTTCTAAATAAAAAAGAGAGATGCAATAAAATAATAATTTATATAATCATTCCTTACCACATAATCTATCTATTTTTTTATGATTAATACTTTAGTTTAAGTAAAAGAATATAGAGAAGGAAATATATAAAAGAATTAATTTGAAAATAAATAGTGTAAAAAAACAAAATTAAGTTATTTCAACTGAGTTAACTTCAGGGGTCATTTGACATGATAGCAAAATTTTAAGAACTATAAGAGAAGAAAGCTTATATTCCAGACCAAGTATAAATAAATACTAGAAGGCATCCAATAGCTAATGTTTTAATATGTTTATTAGTAGATAGACTACTCCACGAATATCAGCAAACAAAAGTAATTAATTTCTTATAGCATCTAAATAGATCTTGTTATTCGATCATTGATCCTTATAATGCAATTAAATATATATTATTATATACATTTAAGAAAATAAACTTGTAAAAATAAGATAAGAATATCCTAAAGAAATTTTGCACTCTATATGGCTACTAGTATAATAATTAGATGAAGTATAGAATTGACTTCTTCCTCAAATTCATTTTCCAATTGTACTGTTTCTCTCTTTCTTAATTTTATTGCATGTATTGTAACAGGTACAGAGGAATTCTTAGATATTATTGATTAACTATTGTCTGAATTTAAATTCTCATTTACTTAAGTTTGTAGTGGAATTACTTAGCTCATCATTTTTATATGATGGATTTGATATATTATAAAAATTACTTGTATATATATAAAATTGAAATATTGTTTATTTCATTTTATTATTTAAATAATCATTTCTTATATAAAAACCAAGTTCTAACCCACCAAGTACCTTTATCTCTATATTCTAAATTATATAATTTTTAAGCTAAATTATGCATATCCTAATTTAACACCTAACATTATGGACATTATATAGACAATCCCAATTCTTCATAAATTGTACCTTTCCATCCATAACCTCCTGTCCAACAATAACTAAAACTACATAATCAATTAATTACCCAAACGAACCACCGCCATCTAATTTACAATGTCTTTTTACATCTTTTTTAGATTCTTTATCATGTTATTACATTAATTCATGTGTATGTGCTCTTAATCTAAGCATTGTTTCTATCATTTATTAATTTCCTGCCTCAATCGAAATCATCTATGATTTTGTTAACCATGATGAATCTTATTATTATTATTATTATTATTATTAAATCTAAGACTAGGCTATTTATTATTATTAAATCTAAGACTAGGCTATTTATTATTATTATTAAAATTATTATATTTGAGGTGCAAATTATATAATAGATTATACTAATACTTATTATGCTTATTATTCTTCCATTAATTATTTTTAAGTTTAAATCTATTTTTTTACTCTATTAGACCAAAATTATTTCTAATTATTTAATAATTTGTTTAATGGTTCAAAATGGTTTGTATTACATAATTATTCAAATTATGCACGAAATTATGCTGCAAAATCCAGTTATTCTGTATAAACCTTTTACATTACATTTTATAGATTTTAATTTCTCTCAAAAATCAAAGTAAGTAAATGATTTTAGATTGAATTTTCTGGATTGGTGAAATGTTCCATCATAAAATCAACATCAAAATTTGTTAAATCTTTTTCAGCTAAATAAAAACATCTTTAAAAAACATCAGTTGATTATGTTAAATATCCTTTCAATACTTATGTATCATAGTTAGCAAATGCTTATAGATCAGTAATTACTTTTTTCATTTTTTCAATAAATTAATTACAGCATTTCTACACTACTTAAACAACTTTTTCAAATTCTTCAACAATTAATTCAGGAGAACATCCTGGTAAAGCATTACTTAAAAGTAAATATTTATCTGCTAACAATTCATAATTACTATTAATTATTTCAGGCATTTGATGATGTCTTTACTTTAATACTTTTATTATTAATGCCAATTACATTATTTATGATCTTCTCTAACAATCAAAGGATTTTTTAATTGAGCTAATAAAATATCAAGAGGTACAGAATTAGGAACTTGCTATTATTACATTTTAATATTAATTAATACAAAAATAATCTAAAAATGCATTTTTTTCTAATAAACTTAATCATACACTTGTATAGATTAGATTTATAATAAAAATATCTTTTAATTTGGTTTGATAAACATGTTAAAATTTAAAGTTTGAATTAGTAATATTATTATAATCAACATTAGAAGTACATAATTGTTAAGTGGATAGAAGTGTTTGGTATTATTGATTAAGTAATTTAATTTAGTAGTAATGCAATTTATTTATGAAAATTTTTATTAGTCTTATTACTACCTAGATTATTTCTACAATAATAGCATTTACGGAGTTTGAAGAACCAAAAGAGATTATAGCTTTGGCTTTAGAGCTTACTGGAATATTGGTGTTACTTTTACTTAAGAAATATAATATTTCAGAGCTTTTATAAAGAGCCATTCTGTTGAGTTAAGCAATCTTAATTTTTGTTTTGATGCCAGATTCGTAATATAAATATTTTACAGGTGCATATCATATAATAGTTCGTTTAACAGCTTATCAATAAATTTCTCAAATGTTAATGTTAGAATGGACAGGTATTCACATAAAAATATGTAATTAGCTTTACTACTTACCGTATTTATTTTCGGAACATCTATAGAAATACATGAAATTTTTCGAAGTATTTTTTCTTGTATTGGTTTATTGATCATTCAAGGTTTTAATGTTTATGCCTAGTTTGAAAAAGATAGAAAAAAACCAGAAATAATGATCTATTCAAAGGTATAGTATACAGGTATTGATTCTAATGTGAGAAGCTTAAATGATAGAATTACAGATCCTAATTATTATGTATTGCATTTGGATGATCAATACAATGTAATGGGATTCTAGAAATAAAGTTAAACACTTTAAAATTTAGAAAATGGTTTATAATCAATTCTAAATGATTTAATAATAAATAAAATTGATTAAAAATCCAAATCCATATTGTAATGGAAGAGTTCTGGTTGTAGTCTATAGAATTTGTTAGATTAAGTAAGAGCTAATAGAATACCAATGGTGATTTAAATTTTGGATTATAGTCATCCATAATTGAATAATCATTTCATAAAAATAATATATTAAAATGATTTCCAAATATAATTTTTGGAATTAGAGGAAAGAGATAGATATTAAAAATAGAAATATATATTTGTTATATTGAAATAACTGTTAAGTACAATGTCACATGAATTTGGAACTTCATTAAATTATTTATTAGCTATAGCTTAAGTAGCAATAGAGAAATATACTGATTCTGATTTGCTTTCTTATTTTATGCCTATAAAATCAATGGGATTAATAATGCACAATTTTGTATTAGATATGGTTGATTACAATAATATTTAAGGAAAGAGATTAGAGTTATAATTAGAGAAGATTGATGTAATTTAATTAAATAAAATAGATAAATTAATTATTGGAAGAAGTTATGAATATCTTCTTTCATACTTTATAATAGAAGGGATTAAAAATAACATATGAAATCTTTTTAGCTGAAAAAACAATTCTAACAGATGGTCGAAGATTAAAATAAATACTAATAACATTGATTTAGAATGCATAGAAGTTCACTTTTTCAGGAGGTATAAAAATAATAGTGAAATCAATTGAATAGAATAAATATGTTCAATTTGAAATTTAAGATTCAGGTATAGGAATGACTAGAAGTGAAATAGATAATTTAACGGAGATGTTGAAATATGATTATAAATAAGAAAAGAAGATATCAAAAAATACAGCAGGATTTGGATTAGGTAGTTTTTTATGTAATAAAATTGCTATGAGTTTAAGTAATTTAAAATATGAAGAAGGAGGTGGTATAAGATATTATAGCGAATAATAAGAAATTCGAGGTACTAAAGTTGTTTTTAAGATTGTTAATGAACCATTTAATCTTAGTTTTACAATGACTAGTCCTTAAGATAATTCAAGTGGAATATTGAAGATTGGAAAAAATGCAGTTATAGATGTTAAACAATCTTAAATTGAATTTGGATTAAGTGGTCTCAAAAATCCATTAACTAAAAAATTTAGTAGTGTTATGGTACCTAAAGTGAATAGTTTTCATGATGATCCAATTAAGGAACATTTTATGACAAAAATAACAACAAAAGATAAATTAGGAGGATCTCTGTTTGGTATTTAAATGTAACACACAAAAAGAGATTAAGATAGTATTAATGATGAAACAAATGAAGAAGACTATTAAAAACGTTTATAATTTTAAAATATCAGATTATCTACTCAACCTTAATATAATAAATCTAGTAAATAAAGTTCCTATGATGATGAGATTGATAATGTCATTGTTAATTGTAATTGTAAATCAATTCTTATTGTTGATGATGAAATGATTAATATTCTTGGTTTATAACTTATGCTTAAATCTTTCAATTTAGAATCAGATTCATCTTATAATGGTTAAGAAGCACTTTTAAAATTAGAAAATGGTAATTGTTTTATCATCTATTTTATTTAGCTCATTGTTTATACAATTTTATTTTTATGGATATTAATATGCCAATTATGGATGGATTTGCTGCAACTAAAGCTATTTTAGAAAAATATAAAAAAGATGCTCCAATTATTATTGCTTGTACAGCATTTACTGATAGTGAAACTAAACAATTTTGTTATGAAATAGGTATGTCTCATTATATAAATAAACCTGTCAATAAAAATGAACTTCAAAAACTTTTATGTTATCTTATTAATTGATCTTGAATTATATTAATATTTATATTTTATTATATATATATTCAAATATATATATATCAATTATATTAAGAAGGTAATTAGCAAATTAGAGAGAAGATAAATGAAATAGATTTTGATTTATATTCATATCTTATTCCTTAAAAGTAATTAATTAATTAATCAATCAATCATATATAAGATATTTAAAAATCATTATTCTAATTCATAATTTTTATTTATAAATTAATTCCCATCCACCATAATTCTTTTTTTTTGTTTTATTATAAACATGTTAAACAATAAATTCACCCAAATCTGTTAATCCCATAGTATTTAATCTTTCAGTAACAGGAGTTGAAAATGCAAATGTTGGTGAAGCATTCACTTCTATTAACCAAGGATTACAATCATCATCTACTATGAAATCTAATCCAAACACTTCAAAAGTATTCTTTCTTATTTCTATAGATTTTTAACATGATTTCATTGTTGCTATAATAATATTTTTGAATTTTTGTCTAACTTGACTCTCAAAATCAAATCCTCTTTCTTTTAATATTTAAATAAATTCCTCTTAACTCATCATTAATTTTTCTTCCTAATTTTCTTCATTATGTTTTTACACACTAAAATTAGTTAAATGAGCATATCTTTTATTTTATTTTACTAATATAAATACCTATTTTTTAAGTCCTCTGTATTATATTCGACACCACAAAATCGTATATAACATTCCTTATACATCCAAATTGTTAATGGTTATATATCTGATACAATCATCCATTATCTTATATCAAACTTTCTCTTTTAAATTGTCATTATATTTTCTAAGCATTTCTAAGCTACGAAATTCATATCTTTAGCTCCAAATGTATAAGCCAGTATCTCCTCCAATTCTTTAAAATATTTCACTCCTCTTCCTCTAGACAATCCACAAGGCTTTGTAACCCATATATTCTCTCCCTTTGAAATTTTATATTATGGATCTATATTTTCAACATTTTACAAAATCTATTTTACTTATTCCATTAGATTTGGATTAGTAAATTATACAATTTCTTATTTTGGTTCTCCTTTCTTGTATAAAATTTACCATTATTATGGGGTGCAGACTGGATATTCATCACCAGTCTAAATAAAAAGTAAACTATACTATTCTATTTATTTTATCTTATATTGGCATCAATCTATAATTTAATAATTTTATTGCTATTTAAATCTTTTCTTCATCTCTAGGATTCTTTTTTAAATAATTCTCAGCAAATGTAAATTTATATTCTTCCAAAAAATCTTCAAAATCACCTTCATCACTTAAATCATAACATCTAGGAAAAAAAGTATTAGAATCTATTCCTCCCAAAATATAACAACTTTTTAATGATCTTGCTAATCCAAACTTTGTTGTCAATAATTTTGTACTAGCAAATCTACTTACAACTTATTCAGGAATTGGTTTATGCAAAAATTTCTTTAAATAACAAAATTTAAAATCATAAACTTATGTGTAAACATCCTAAATTTCTACCCATCCTAATTTAATTCATTTATATATATATCTATACCTAATTAATTAAACAGAGTTTTCATATCATTAAAATATTCTCCTTAAATCACATACAAATATTAATTTTTATTTAAATTATTTTTTTTCCTCAATTTTTCAATCTCATCTCTTACTTCATGTTCTGATAAAGGCTATATTGAAGCCAATATTTTTTCAGTTTCTTCCTCTTTTTTTCTTTACTCTTCACTTTAGTCATCTAAATCTAAATATAATTTCTAAAATTCTTTATCATTCATTGCCTTATTTAATATACTTCTTATATCAACTAATTAATATCTTTATAATATGTACTTCCCATTGATTTTAGTAAAGGTTATCTTGTTATTTAAAACATTGATCTTGTGATGAATCTACAACTTAATTCTAATTAAGCAGCAATCTTAATTAATTATTCTTCTAAATTTTTCTTTTAGTTGCTATTTGATTATACTGTTTTCTTTAATTTTGGATCAAATTTGCAATAGTATTATGGTTTACCCATTTAACTAATCAATGTTGATATCCTATATCTGAAACAATTTTAAATTCTGTCAAAGACATTAACTTCTGTTTCTATATTTTATTTTATTTCTTATTTTTTTGATCTTTTCTCACTCAATTTAGGTTTACTTACTTAAGACCAATCGACTTAAAAATTTTCAATTTCTGATTATTACTACATTAATTTATGAATTTATCATTTGAAGCAGTTCGAAAAATTGTATATCAAGGATTAAATGCTATTGATTTAAAATAGAAAATCGATTGCAATTACATTTTGTAAATTGTAGAGAACTATTTTCCATAAACAACTAAAGATAAATTGGATTAATTGTTATCTTTCCGTGTTTCTGATGGCTTTGCTAAAATTAAAGCTTTATTTTTTAGAACTTCAAATCCATATCTTGTTTAATTAAGAGAAACAGAGCCTTTAACCAAATATCCCTTAATAAAAGTCTCAAGTTTTAGAATTTTAGGAAGACCTGTTGAAGGAGATGATTTTCCAATATTAATTTTAGAATTTGAAAGACTTTCAATTCTAGATAAAATTATTGGTTAACCAATTTCTTTTAAATCATATGTTGCTAATGGTTACTAAAATCCTAATGGAGCTTTATTTCCAAATGATTTTGATTTGGCTGAAATTGACGATTTATTATTTTCAAATCAGAAATCTTAATCAATTCACTTCAATCAACCTTAAAATATATTACAATAACCAAAATTACAATAAAACATATTTTAATAACCTTTATAAGATATACAAAATAAAAATGAAGATAAAACTAAAATAGAAGTAACATTTTTATATAAATTTTATAGAATAAAATTTCATTAAGTAAAAGTAAATTTTAATAACAAAAACAAATTGAAATGCCTTAAACTGAAATTATTTAATATAAATAGTAGAAAGTGTTAGCCTAAAAACTATACAATGATTAGAACATGCCAAATCAATCAATATTTACAACATATAATTAGGAATAATTAAAATAATTGTAAAATTAAAAATAGTAATAATAATAAAGAGTATAAATTTAACCACAATAATAGCATTTATAATCTAATTAATAATAGCCTAATCAAAATAATAAACCAAAAAATCAAACAAATAATAAAGTTGCTTCACAAATAGATGTAAATAAGCTAGACTATTTTGTTAGGTTTTCCCATTATCTTAAATAAATCCCAGTTTTTAATAACCTTTTCGAGGAAGAGTTGTTAAAGTAAATGAAATAAAGAGTTATACATCTTAAAAGTAGAAAGACGGTAAATTATTTGGAATTTAAGTCATTGATGAAGAAAATCTCATATCAATGATGTTTTTTGATTAAGCTGCTGAAAAATTTCATGATTGTTTAATATAAGGAAAATGTTACATTTTTTAAGGTGTTACAGTAAAACCAGCAAAAAATGTAGAATAATTGTAAAAGATAGGATGTCTTCCATATGATTATGCTTGTGATTAAAATGCATAAATAATTGAAATCGATGATGTAATGGGGATTCCTTTAAATACGTTTAATTTCGTTAAACTTAACACAATTAATTTATAAAAAGTTGAAGTTTAATTAGATGTAGTAGCTGTAATAAAATCTACTAGTGGTGTTAAAGAATTTTAAGCTAGAAATAAAGATGAAAAATCAATTAGAATTTAATTAGTAGTATATGATGATTCCTTATAAGAAATAGAAATAACACTTTATGGAAACTTAGCTTAATAATACCCTTTTAAAGTAAAAGAAATTTATATGTTCAAAAATTTAAAGATAAACGAATATTAAGGAAAAAAAAGTTTAAAAAATAATTACTTAACATCAATTCATTTTGATTAAAATCGAAAGGAAGTAAAAGCATTATAAAAGTGGTTATAAAACTTTGATGGAAAGTTGAGTGAACCTATATCTAAAATAAAATTAATATCAGAATTAATTAATGAATCAAATAAATGTGAATAAGATTAAAATTTAAAAATATACTCAGATGTTAGAGCTTAATTAGTATTAATAAAAAATACAGGTACTCTTTACTATCAATCTTGTACTAATTGTTTAAAGAAAGTTACAACTGATTTAGATTGTTATTTTTGTTCATCTTGTAATTTGACAATGAAAGAACCAAAATATAGATATATTTTAAATTGTAAAATAGCAGATTCTAGTGGAAATATCTGGGTTAGTGTAGGTGATTAATAAGCAAATTAAATAATTGATGTTTCTGCTCATTTTCTTAAATAATTATTTGAATAAGGAAAAGAAAAAGAAAAAAATGAAATATTAAATAAATCATCAAACAAAGAATTCAGATTTAAATTAATTTCAAAATTAGAAGAATTCAATGATGTAAAGAGAGTAAAACATTCCGTATCATCAATTATTCCTATTTCAAATTCTGATACATAAGATATTTTTAATTAAGTAGAATTCCTGATGAAAAATATTGGATGATTTATAATTAAAGTTTAACTCAAATGTATTAATTAATATTTAAAGTATCATCAGTTTTGATGCATTATAACTCAAATCTTAAATTTCCTAAAATAATGAATAATTTAGACCTTTTTCAATATTAAGCGATTAAAGTTAACATTAGGGACAATCTGAAGGAAAGATTATACAACAAACACCAATAAAATGCCTTGAATCCTGACAATAGGTTAGAAATTGACGAGTGTTATAATCTGTAAATAGAGAAAAACAAAATGAACAATTTTAAGGTTCTTCTAATTAAATTAAGTTGCTATGTTAATTTTTTTATTCAATTGCTATCATTTTAGAGTCTTTTTTACTAATCTATTCATTTTCAGATTTGTAAGTTTGGATCTAAATTTATTAATTATATTTATTATTTTAGTCTCTCTGAATCTCATATTATTTCTATTACCATTATTCAAATTATTCATCTTATTATTTTGTTTATTCTAATTTTAAATTCAAAATTTTATCAAAAAATAAATCAGCATCTCTTTCTCTTATTCCCTTTCCACATAAAGGACATCTTAAATAAGTCTATTTTTTTTGAGCTAACACTTCTAAACAAGGAGCACAAATAAAATCTTAACATTAATTTTAAAATAAAAATGACATATTAAATATTTGCTTACATATACAACATTTTTAATCTTATTTTTAATAATTATTTTAAATTGCTAATAAAACAACATTTGTTTAAACATAATTCCCACACTCTTAACACATAAATTAGTTTCTATATTGACATAATTATTATGCACAACTAATACAGTAATAATGAGAGCATGAAATTTATATGATATTATTTTACATTTATTATTATTTGCATTTACTACATTTTTATAAAATCTCTACAATTTATATTTTTTACTTCTCTTGTTCATTTTATAAATTAGAATTAAAAGTTTATTATGTAGATTAATTATTTTTTTATTGTTGGTTTTCCATCTTTTTTTCTGATATCTATGAATTTTCTTCTTGAATGATTATTTATTTTAAATTAGAATCAGAAGATTAAGGCTATTATTATTGTTATAAAATCTAATTTTATTAAATATTATTTTTTATAATCTCTGAATTATTTTAGATCTTGGAATTTTCAATTTTTTAAATAGATTAAGAAGCTTAATTTTAAATTTTAATTGATTCAATACAATTCTTGCAAGGTTGATTAGGATTGTTTGAATTAGTTTAATCACATTGCTTACAAATAGAATTTTCATATTATTGCTAAAGATTCTAATAAAATGTTTTATTTAAGAGAAATTAACATTGGTTATAGGGACAAGTAAAAGATTATATAAGTTTGGAAACCTAAAATTCTTTTTTTATACATAAGAAGCAAAGAAAATGATGACATGGTAAAAGGATTGGATTAATTTAATTTTTACATTAAGCACATATCTATTCTATTGGTGCTTGTTTAATTAATTAATATTAAATTAGATAATAATTTTCTTCTTTTTTGTACAAAATAATGGGGTTATTTCCATAATTGAATTATTTTTCAGATGATTTTTAAGAATGCTCAATTATTATTTGATATTAAACTTGAAATGTTTATGATAAAAAATTAATCTTTTCTTCAGGATTATTTTTATAGTTATATCTAAAGTAAGGAATAATAACATCTTAAAAGTACTTTCCATAAGAATCTTAGATTTTAACCTATCCCAAAAATTATAGAAAGCCAGATGGTTTATTTTAATAAATATTTAGTAAATTTTTAATTTTTACCACAGCCTCATTATTTGGATTGAAGTCAAATAATTTAGATTTTAAGATCTCTACATTGTTTATTTTAAAATGATATTCAATTAATCCTACCAATAAAGCTGAGTCTAAGCCTTATCCTACATTAATCCACTTCTAAAAATTAGACAAAGCTTTAATATGCTTTGGAATGGGAGAAATTTCAAAATATTTTTAATTCATTTTATTATTTTATTTTATAATATTGAATCTTGAATATTAATCAATATGCCTAATAAGCAGCTATAGCACCTGATATTAGACCTCCTAAACCAATTACTCCATCATTAAGATTGATTTTTAATACTTTGGGGAAAAACTCAGAACCTTAACCAGCTGGCATTAAATCTCCAAATATCTTTATCAAATTTAAATATAGACTCTTATTTTAATTTATCCTATTAGCTATTTATTGTTAAGCACCCTGATTATTTTTATTTTATTAAATAAATTAAAAGTTGACAACCAATTATCTTATTGTATCAACTAAGTTTGTGATTATTGCAATAAACCAAAATGTCATTGCTTTTTTTTATAATGGTTTAGGATCACTTGTAGTGAACTTTATAGATGATAAAACACTTAAATTATCATAAAACCTAAAATTTTAAGAAGTATTTATTACCAATATAATAAAAACCAAACTCTTGTTAATATATTTAATGCACGAGCAACCTATTCTTAAGGAGATTTGCAATTTTATGCAACTCTATCAATTATAGTTTACAATTCATTCAAAGATTTGGCTAATCTAAATAATTTTCTGGCATCTCTTGTACTTTCTAGATATATATAATAAAAATAAGTACAAAATAAATTCTTAAATTGATTCGACAATTATTCGTTTCCACTGTTTGTTTTCAGATGCCACATCAAAAATCTTGATCCATATTGCATGACTTTGCATATTTTATCTCTTCCTTCAGTCTTGTTAAACCATTTAACAGTTGAATCAAGTGTTTACATATTTTTACAAAATAAATAATTACTCACAAAAAATCAAAGTGCGTATTTGCAAAATAATTTATATTATTCACAAATTCACTTTTTTAATTTTAGTGATTTTTTATAATCCATATATTTAGTAGATGAATCACTTATTTATCTATAAATCAAATAATATATATTCAATAGAATGTTAATTTAAATTTTATGGATGTATTCATATTAAATTGCTATATACTTATGATTTATTTTTCAAAATGTAGTATTAATTTCATAAAATGAAGAAGAAAATTTCGAAATTGAATAAATAATAATGGTTCAATATTTTAAACAAATCTTCAATAAATAAATGTAAGTATTAATTGATTATCAATTAAATTCATATTTTCTATTTTGATAATAATAGATTCATTTAGTTCTTATTTCAAAATTTAATTTTACAATCATAATGGTATATAAGATAATTTTGAATTGGGCTACCATATTAATCAATATTATTTTGTACAGTATTTTCTAAATTTTATTTCATTCAATAGAAATAACAAAGAAATAAATAGATTGGAAACTTTAAAATAAAAATTTCTAGTCAAGTTTGTTAATCTAAAACATTTTTACTAAATTCTTATTAAAAAAAATAATTAGATATTAGCAACTATTGACGACAAATTTTAGTAGTTTGTTAAACTTTTTCTTTATAATTTTAAAATTTCTATAAATTTTTATTGAAATTTAAACAATTATTATTCTAATTCATTATCTTTAATATTTATTTTCAAATTCAATGAATTTAGAATATAAAATTATTAATTTAAGATGAAATATTAGCAGATTGTTTTTGGTATTTCAGTAATCGTCTTTTTATTTTTATTATAACACTGACAATTAATATCCAAAATAGACAGCCTCAATATCAATAATATGTTTTAATGAACCAATAAAAGTTAAGCAAATAATATCCATAATATATAACCAATTTTAAATAATATTTTATTTACAAGATTTTTAAATATGATTTAAGAAGTTAATGATTAACTATATATATTTAGTTGAGAGAAGTTACTTAAAATGATAGATAATAAGATTTAATTTAGAATAATGAAAGAATACAGGAATTAAAATATTTATAAATTTATATGAAAATAATATTATTTTTGATGATAATAAGGTATAAAGTTCATGTTTTTATATTGCACAAATTTTCATAAATACTCAGTAGTGGTGCTTTGGTTATGATCTAGTTATTATTATATAAAGAATATAATAAGATTATATAAATATAAAATGATAAGATAGATTGATTATAAAGAAGAGGAGTGATGTAGTTAAATAAAATACTTTGATATAAATATATAATCAATTTAAATAATAAGATAGTATTTCAATGAGTTAATCTTTTTTGACTGGTTTTTAGATATGATAGCTCATTCCACTTTTGTAGCAGATATTTCTAGTTTCTGTATCAGAGAAAGCAGTGCAAGCAATAACAATAATATTGGAATATTTGGATTTGATTTTGACAGTAGTTTGTATTCCATCTAAGATAGGCATATTGATATCCATAAAGATCATTCTATAAATTTGAGACTTGCATTTATTACATTTAGCTAGAGTATGATAAAAGATTACTCTTTTTTTGATTATTGAATATGAGATTAACACATTCTTCTCCATTAAAGACTGAATCACTGGAGTATCCCATCTGATCTAGCATCATTGATAAAGCCATAATATTGATTTATTCGTCATCTACAATTAAGATTTATGGACAATTGCACTAATGTTTATTAGTAAAATTATCATTAAGATGTTTGATTCTAGATTCAAATTCTAAATCATTGGTTTCTTAATTAATACTATATGATTCAATTTTTCTTTCAGAAGTAATAGCAGCCAGGAATAATTCTCTTGCAATTTTAGATGCTGGTTTCCTCAATTTGAGTGATAATTCTTTACTCAATCCTCTTTCTGATTTAACATCTTTAATTCCTAGAATTTAAGAAAACTTTTATCTCATAGGTTAAGCATTAATTCTACTGATTTAGGATTCCATTGTATCAATTTGAATCTTCTTACGAATACGTACAATTGGAGTAGGATTACTCTATTAATAGATAGGACTATATGATTAATTCCGAGCCATAAACCAAGCATGAAATCCTTATTGATATTTAGATTCAAATCTTAATCCTCCTCCTTTTTCATATCTTGTTTAACTTAATACTTCTGCAATCTTATTTGATATATATAATCCTAAACCAAAACCTACTGTATTTTAAGAGATTCTTGCAGATTATGGAATACCTGATGATAATAATTAATGTAATCTTTCTACCTCTTCTTATTTCATTCCTATTCCTGTATCAAATACATGAAAAATCACACATAATTATTTCTTATTTATGACTGCTCCGACTTAAATTCTAATCTAACCAGAAAATGTAAATTTCTAAGCATTAGATATCAGATTAATTAAAATCTATCTTATTCTATTTCTATCACTAACTAAATCATAATTTAATAAATTATTTTAGAATTCAATTTTCAAATGCTTCTAATTTATTTAATATTTAAATAGATCTATGACTTCACTTATCAATTATGGAATATTGAAATTGCTTACTTCTACATTAAACTATTTGCTTAAAATTAAATTATAATCCATTATATCACTAATCAAACTATGCATTATTCTTCCGCAATGTAAAATAGGTAGGAAATACTTTTCAGATACATTTTTAGGAACATTCTCATGACATTATGCTACTTAAGCTAAAGCTAATATATAATTCAATGATGTATTCAATTCATGACTGAAACTCTTAAATAATTATTTCATTGTTGTTTATGCATGTTTCTTCTTTATATAATGAGCATAATCAGGTAACTCTTATAATATTATATTGTATGATGTTTTATCTCCATTCTCTTTCTATACCAAAATTTAAAAAAATTATTCTTCAAAACCTTGTAAAATATATACATCCAATTAATGAGGAAGAGTCAAATTTAATTTTATACTTTCTAATAATTCCTTTAATGATAATAAAGTCAAAGAATCTCTAAAATCTTATATCGATTATAATTTAATGTTGCATTATTCTTACAACAATTATTTTGTTTATTTATCTATCAAAATTGGCGATTGCGTTATCACTTCATTTATTGATTTATTAGATAATATATAACTTGACTTTTTATTCTAGTAAATTATTTCAAATTATTCATCTAATTTTATAACTCCTACTATCCCATTTGTTATATCATTAATCTTCTCATATTCTGTTTATGTCCTCAAATTAATTGTCTCCTCCATTATTGATGTATTGTTCTAATTCACTCTTCTCTCCTCATTATAATTTTTCACTAGCAACATTAATGTTACTATCAAAAATTATATCACTGCCTAACCATTCTCAATCTCTTACAAACAGTAGTATAACATCAACAAAAACATATGAAACACTTTCATCAGCATCAAATATCGGTTCACTTATTTCTCTTTCTCATCCTATTTATATATCATTATTGGTACTACGAATGTTATGAACGAATACTTATCGTAGTTCTCCAATAATTCTATTTTAATCATTTTTATTCTTACATAATATGTTCAGTGAAATGATCAATATAGGAGAAATAAATACACTATATTTTATTCTTCCCTTCCAATATTATAATAACAAAAATACTATCAGGATTAATAGCCTTATTATCAATAACCACAACTTTCAATTTTATATATGCAAGATTACTCAAAATCTAAAGAATATATTTCATTGCACAACCATGAACAACACAGCAAGATTTCACATAACATATTTTTATTCCTATTTATTATTTAAATTATCATATCAAAATTATTGTTTATAAAAATATATAGATTTTTAATCAAAATTAACTCTCTTAACATTGATCTATAATTTATTTATTTCTAGATGGATGTTTGTTTGGAATCAAATTGAGTATATTCTAATAATATGGTATTTTATTATTTTCTTTTGAAATTCTATGTACGTATTCATCATCACAAAACTCTATGTCGTCTTCACTTGAACTAGTAACATGAAGTTCTTCCTTACCAAGTCTAGATGATAGCATCTCGCAAGAACTTTGTTCTCTCAATTCTAAAATAGTCCTTAAAGATGGTAAGATTTTAGGTTTCTCATTTTAAGAATTTAATTTCTATCTCTAATTAGTTAACCATTAATGTGCTAATGCATTATTCAAAGTAATTCTATTTTAGAAATCAGGATCAAGCAAACCACAGAGTAATTCAATGAGAGAGAAAGAATACTCTTATTATTATTCTTATTTAATTGACTTTAACCATTAATAATCAATTTTAAAGTTATCAAGTGATTTATAAAAAGATAATGATGATTTATTTGCAGTATTGTTATGAAAAGTCAAATAATACAAGAGAACTCCTATTTAATATCCATCAATATTTGAAAAATCAGTTTTGATTTGTAAATTGTTAAATTCAGGAGGAATCCATTATTTAGGTACTTTCTTATTTAGCCAACTTAAATTATATTAATTTGCATCTCTATAAGCAAAATTAAATAAAGTAATTTTCAACTATTATCCTTATTGATTTTATAGAGTAGTAGCTCTATGTAAAATAATATTGGTTGGTAAAATAGCTCCATGATAGAGATTATTTTAATGTAAAAAGCGTATGACTTTAATGATTTAGAAAATAATTTATGCGATCTAAGAAGCAGTTAATTTGAAACCTTATTGAATTAATTTATATAATGTATCACCTACCCAATAATCATATAATATATAGAGAATATCACCATCTTCAAATAAAGCATGAAATTAATGTAATCCATTTTATTTGAAGCACATTAATATGTTTATTTCATTCATCAAAGCTTCATATAATTATTCACTTAAACTTGACAATCTTATTAATTAAACTGTGTAAACGCGATCTATTTTGATATAAAAGATTTACTATTTTTATTTTTAACACAAGCATAATGATTTTATATAGAAAGTTTTTCTTGAATTGTGTATTTATTGGAAAAATTTTATAGTTTTGAAAATCTCTTCAATTGTTTTTCCCACTAAGAATAAATAAAAGGTTTCTTACATTAAGTTATTAGACATAAGACTCATAAAATAAGAATAGATTGCCTTAACTATTTAGTAATTACAAACCTTATGCTGTAAATTCTTTATACTAGATTATTTTCTTATTCATGATGCAAGATGACAATACTAAGTATTCTTAATTATCCGCAATAAGCATATTAGGATAGAGAGTAAATTACATTTAGGTGAATTTATTGATTTTGTTATCATATGTGTATAAGCTTGATTTAAGCAATTAATCACAATCCTGAAGTTTGTTCAATTAAATAGCTTATATTTTCTTCATATTCGATTACTATAGCTAATATTTAGGTATTTAATCTAAGAGATTGAGGATCCATTCAATGTTTGTAGGTTTTTAATTTTTTATATAGCTAACTCTCTTTTTTGTTTATTTCATATTGCATATCCCCCACAATAGATAATCAGTTATATTTTTATTATATTAGATGTCCCTAAATTCGCAATTCCCCAAACAAGTTCCATTCTTACCTGGTCATGTATTCTCAGATCCCTTTAAAGAAAATCATCATAAAACTTAACAATTTTCTCATATCAATGGAACTGTGTAAGAGAAAACAAACTTTATTCATGAAGAATTCGATCCAAACCTTATGGATTCAATGAAATTTAATGCTCCACCTAATCTAACTTATGGTAGCAGACAACCACCAGAAAATGATTACATTCCTCGTATCTAACCACCATGGTTAAAATATGATCGAGCTGTTTTACGTTTCTATGGATATTTCTAAGAATCTGTTGTTGAAAATCCTAATGAAAATTTCAGAATAAGGAAAGTCATTATCTATTACTATTTATCAGATGGAACAATACATGTAGCAGAAGTAAATTATATTTATAATTATTTCTAGCCAAGACAACCTAATGCTGGAATCCCTTAGGGTTTATTTATTAAAAGATAAAAAATACCCAAAAAATTGGGTAAATAAGACTTTTACTTATGGGAAGATTTTTAATTATGCACCAATATCAATTTTTATGAAAGAGTAAATTCGAAATTTTTATGTTTTTTTTTAGGTATTTAGAATTCAAGATTGTGATACATTCACTAGAGAATTCTATGAATATATGGGTAAACCTTTAAGTTTACCAGAACAAATGCCAAGAGATAATTTTGAAACTATTAGAGAAACTAAAGATCTTAAAATTAATCCACCTGATACCAAAGAATATAAAGAATATTTTGAAGTCAAATTAGGTGGAGGTCATCCTAATGGAGGATTAAATAAATATTTGTAAAATGATAGAAAAGTCTTATCATTTGATATTATCTGGGATGATGCCTCCATTGAAGGATAATTAAATTATTACACTTTGAATTATTATCTTGCTGATGATACATGTGAAGTTAAAGAAGTGAGAAAACAGAATTCAGGAAAGGATCCTTATCCATTAATGTTAAGAAGATAAAAGATACCAAAAGCTCCAATTCTAACTCATTATCCAGGAATGACCCTTAAGAAAGAAGAATTCTACAGTCCTTAGGATTTAATTTGTGGAAACACAGTAAAGATTTATGGAAGAGACTGTTTCATATATGGATGTGATGATTTTACAAAGGAATATTATTTAAATGTTTTAGGAATTCAATAAAAGTAAGATATATTTAAAAAGATATAAAGACCTGCCACATTAAAATAAGAGAGAGGGAAAAAGTTCTATTAGCCTGTTCCTCCATATAATGGTTATGGATATGAAGAGGATTCTTTAGGATCAGTGTATTCTTTATAGCCGAAACCACCAAAGAAGGATGTCAGAAAGAATTTTACATAAGATTAATTCATACTAAGATTTGAAGCAAGATAAATCAGTGAAGTTAGAGAAGAGAATTCAAGAAGATTTATAATATCTTTTTATTGTGGTGATGATACTGTTTAAGTTTATTAAACATCTGAAAGGAATAGTGGAATTTGGGTATTGATATTTGATAAATTGAAAGGGTGGAAAATTCTAAGAGAGATCTAGATAAAAGAATCCTTTAACAAATGATTATTATACTGAAAAGGTATTGAGTTTAAATTTAAATAAAAGGATTTTTAATTGGGTGGAATTGTTTAATTTAACGTTTACAAATTCTAATTGATGAGAGCAGATGAATTTACTATCAACTATATGAAATAAAAACCAGATGTTTTTAAAGAAGCTGACATCTCTTAAATAATAGCAAAATTAAGACTTTTTGCTGATGGATATTAAAATTTTGATAGTTTCTTAATGGACTTAATGAAGTATTTAATAAAATGAAATAATAAAGGAAATTAGATAAATAACTTAAAGGATATATTGGATTTGAAGAATTATCTTAAGGTTTATTAGAATTAGGATTTAATTTAACATTACAAGAATAATATTTCTTAATGAGAGAATTTGATAGAAATGGAGATTGGAAATTGTGTATGCAATCATTATGGGAATCATTGGGAGGTAAAAGAAGTTGATAAATTTATTATATAAACAAATACATTTATTACATAAACAAAAAATAATGATCTAAAAGAGAAATTCATTGAATATAATAGAGTTGCCAACTAGACTTTCTTCTGGTTGTATAAACTAAGTATAGAATAATATAATTTGATAGGATGCACCATCTCCAATAAAATTAATTAGGAAACTGACAAGACAAGCATCTACAATCAATGGATCATCTACTAAAATAAAGACTTGCACTGCTATTGTTCCTAATAAAACTTAGGATGTTATCTAATAATGTATATCAATTGTTGAATAAATTCGACAATAATATCAAGAAAGATAGGGTAGTAGATTTTTTCATATTCGTTCATGTTCTATGCCTTGTGATAGAGTTTCTATTATCAATTAATTGATTGATACTATATTACCTTAATCTCCAAGAAAACAACAAAGATCATTTGAGTAAGATCACATAATTATATTTAATAAGGGGAGAAATTCAATCTGTGATGAATCAATTAATAGAAGAGAAACAATATAAATAAAAAGCAATTGATTAGAGAGATAGTTTGACTAAAAGATAAGATTATTCTATATAATAACTAGTAAGTTTTTATATATATTAAAAGAAATCTCGAATTGATCAATATAAAAAGTTGAATTGAATATTTGATAAAATCATGATATCTCAAAAATGCTTTATTTTATATTAGTTATAATTAAATGTGATGTAAAAATAATAATATTCCATATTTTATTTTTAATGACGAATTGATTACATAAAAATAGATTAAAGTAGCCATAGTTGATAAAGAATTCACGACATAATTAGTATTGAATATAATTCTTAAATATTAATTTAAATTATATTTATAAACATGGGAAATATGTGTTATAGAGACTATGATGAAGAGAAATTATTAGGAGGATAAGAAATTAAGAAACCTGAATCTGTATAAGGATCAATAATGAAACCTAAACGTAAATTTACATTTTGATTATGGAGCTAGTGGAGATGGTTAGACAACAGATGTAGCAAATTAGAATTAAACTGAAATGACAGATGATCCTGAATTATAAGTGGAAAAGGATGAATTTTATAAATTATCAAATGTATAGATATGGTTAAGTATAAATTTAAGGAAAACACAAGATAATTAGATATAGCATCTAAAGCAATTGAAAATGAAGGGTAAGGTTAATAAACATAAAAAGTGAACATAGATAGTTTTAGATTATTAAAAGTATTAGGAAAAGGGTCATTTGGAAAAGTAATGTTGGTGCAATATAAATCAAATTGTATTTTAGATATATTTATAGTATAGAAAAATATTATGCAATGAAAGTGTTACAAAAAAAGAATATAAAAAATGAGAGATAAAAACGTCATACAGAGACAGAGAGAATCATCTTAGCTACATGTTCTAGTATCTTTTTAGTAAGATTGAGATATGCATTTCAATCATAATATAAATTGTATCTTGTTGTAGATTATATGCCAGGTGGAGAACTATTTTATCATTTAAGAAAAGTAGGAAGATTCAAAGAAGAAGTAGCTAAATTTTATGCAGCAGAAATTCTATTGGGATTATAATATTTACATGAAAACCATATAATATATAGAGATTTGAAACCAGAAAATATATTACTAGATGAAAATGGTCATATTAAATTAACTGATTTTGGTTTATCTAAAATTATGTTAGAAGAAGATGAAACTGCATTTAGTTTATGTGGAACTCCAGAGTATTTAGCACCTGAAATACTTACTACAAGTTTATACATTCTAATTATACATCTTAGAAACTGGATATGATAAAACCTGTGATTGGTGGAGTTTCGGTGCTTTGTTATATGAAATGCTAGTTGGAGCCCCACCTCATTATAAAGAGAATAAAAAAGAAATGATTCGTAGGATATTGACATAACCTATACCATATCCTTCATATTTATCTGAAAATGCTAGATCTCTTCTAGAATTGATCTTGGTTGTAGACGTAACTTACTTCTATTTACATTTTCTTAGCCAAAAAAACGTTTGGGATATGAAAATGATGGATATGACATCATGAAGCATGATTTCTTTATTGGCATTGATATGGCAGAAATCATTTAACATAGAGTATCTAATCTTATCTCTATATCATTAGATATAACCACCTTATAAATTTGATAAAAAAGAATTAAAATATTTTGATGAAGGAATGACTAAATAAATAGCTAAAGACACACCTGTCAATGGTACCTTATTACCAAATTAAAATTTTGCTAATTTCACATATCAACCTAGTATGTAATAAAGTGCCAATATTAAAAAATGAAAAATACAAAAAAATCATATTTTTATCAAACCCATTAAATAAATTAATCAATTTTAGTTTATCAATGATTGCACGCTTGTCTACAACATTTCTCAAAAATATAAGACAAGCTATATGCATTGTCCCTGATACAGAAATCACTATTAATGACAAAGTATTCTTTTTTGAACAAGTATTTCTTAATGATTATTTTAGAATTCAATTAAATCTATACCTATGAGATCTGTCTTAAAAGAATATTTATTATAGGAGAGTGAATTTGTTGAAGAAGCAACTTAAAATGAAAAAGACTCCAATGAAAACTTAGAATCATAAGAAGAATATTCTGATGACGAAAATAATGGAGATGATTAAGGACCTTCTGGTGGAAGAATGATGCCCGTAATTGAACTTATTAAAGGATTTATTCCTAAAATTGTTGGTGCAATTTGAGCATTTTAAATTCAAAATTTACAATCTATTATTATTAAAATTCATTTTATATATATAGTTTATTATTCTTTTTATGCTTTAATCTATTCACAAAATAAATTGGAATCATTTTTTGTAAAATAATTCTCTAGTTTTAAATGTCTAATAATGAAGCTTAAGAAGAAAATTAAAATATCTAAAAAAAATTTACTTTACGATTTATGATAACCTGAAAAAAAATAGAATTTAATTAAAAAATCATTTATGCATATGTTTATAAAAAAATCAAAGCTATTTGCAATCAAAGTATTTGATAGGTAGGATTAAGTCTTTATACATAATTAACAACAGTAAGATTAAATATTCATCTATAAAATTTTGAGACAAATGTTGTTATTTACTACTTTACTTATTTAGTTTAGTATGATGTAACAATATTTGATAAACTTTGATTGAAAATCATTTATATGAATTTAGATGTTAAGATTTAATAGATTTGATATAATTATGAATAGAACAAATATAAATATAAAAATAATTAAATCATATGATAAAAGATAACAGAAGGATAAAAAGAAGAATATCTCATCAAAAATATGAATTAGAAAAACTCTAATAGAGTGAACTTATCCACTTTGAAAATTATACATCTGATGAGCTAGAAAAAAAATAAAAAACTTAAGGTGTTAGCCCTGTTAGTATAAAAATTAATCGATAATAATTTGGATTGCCTAAAATTCAACATTCTCCAAATATTCAAACCAATAAATATATTGGAGAATTTAATAACATGTTAGGAATCTTAACTAGTAAACATTAAATTCCTCATCGAAATAATAGTTTGAATAGGAAAGTATATTATAAAAATAACAATGATACATTTATTGAGAGATAAAATTTTGTAATCAATCAATTTTTTAGGCCAAGAAAATTAGGAGTTTGTAGATGAAATAGATAGTAAAATATTATTTTACTTTACAAAATGAATATTATAATTAATGAAGTAAATATCATTTATTTTTCTTTACCAATTCTGATCTTTTGATTGCTCTCAAATAAGTATTTTAAAGTACAGCTTCTTATTTTTTAGAGAGCTTTTCATTCTATTTTTAGTAATAATTATTTTATGTAATATTTTTATTATTTTGATCTAACACACTTCTCTAATCTTTTTAAGAAGAACGACCAGAATTTATCTATTCAATTTTATAATCATGTCTATGTTTGATTGTATCAACATAAAACCAATTAACATCTGATGGTAGAGTCTTATCTTTATTTTGATTTAAATTCACTTCATAAATATCATTTTAATTAATATGCTAACTTTTATTATCCATTATTCTTCTTTTCTAAGGTGATACTGTTACTGATTATTATTATTATTTTATTGGTGAACGTGACACTTTTATTTCTTATCCATAAATATCTGATATTTTTCTACTTAAAGGATCTTTCATATTTTCTTTCGGTTGAAATGTACTTAGAGTCTTTCTTAAATCTCTTTTCTTATATGAATCATCTTATGGATAAAAATCCTCATTAGAATGATCTGGGATTTTATGTCTGTTAGGAGTTTTATTCAAAGGAATACTCTTCACTATGCATGAATTTTATATATTATCATGAGTAGTAAATGTAATTTTGCCTCTATATTACATTTTACAAACAGAATTCCCAGTTATGGGATTGTTTTTTATTGATGTTTTCATTAATTAATTCTAATATTCATATATACCAAAATAAAACTAAATTTTCATTAACTTATACCAATATCTAGGTAACTAAAATCATATATTTTTATAAGATTCAATTAAAATCTATACAAAATTTAAATAAAAAGAAAATATGTTTAAATTAGCAAATTTGAAAAATAGGTAGAGAATACAATTAAAAATTTATATAGTCAATCAAACCAGAAGGATAAATAATATTGTTTTAAATTTAAAGATTTTTTAGAATATAGCTACAATTAAAACTTTTAAATTTTAAAAGGCGATATTCTTTAATTATGTCTCTAAATAAAATAATTTTTATCTGAATCCATTAAAAAGGTTGGGAGAAAAAATCTTATTTTTATTCTCCTAAATCACTACAAAGAATTGAATAAAAAAGAGAAAATTGTAACTGCAAAAAATAAAGGCAAGTATTTTATTAAGTTAATTTAAAGAAGTATTAAATATTGGCACAATATAAATATTATTTTTATAAATAGATTGAAAATAAATTATATTCTAGATAATATTTACTTAAAGCCAGTAAAACAGTTTAAAAATTGACTGAATCTTTCAAAAAAGTATTTATACTAAAAATAATTTTATTCAAATAAGTGAGAGAAATATAAAGAAGGATTATTTATAAAATTATTCTTGTTATCTCTATATTATAGATGAATTTAAAAGAATATATGAAAATGCTCCATCTTATTGTATTTACTATATATTTCCTATATATTTCTCTTTAGTTTTATAATCACTCTTCAGGAATAAGAATTTCTAATTTTAGAGATTAAATTTTTTTGAAATCAAAATATTTATTAACAATAAAATAGCATAAATAATGTCAAATATCTTAAGGATATAATCAAAAGCATAAAAAATAATATAAAACCCAAATTTTCAAGATATATATTATTTATGTTTGGTTTTTTTTAAATAAATAATTTATTGTATATTGTTGCAAATTTTTTTTTCTTTATTTGAATTGAATAAATTAAATATTGTAATAGAAATTAAAATATGGATAACATTTAAATAGATAATTTCTAAATAAACTCAAAGCAAAAGAATTTTTCTTCATCTAATCAATCAGATGATGAAAATAATGGGTAATTAGAAAGCAGTTAAAAAAAAGAATGTATTATAATAATAATAAATAGCCGATAATAAAAAAAAAGAATAAAAACTTAAAATTAAAATGAAAAGAAAACTTAGAAAAAAAATGACAAATGAATAAAAACTATCAAATAAACAAATGTCAAATAATCAAGAGCAGAAACTAAAAAAAGATCGGCTTAGTAATATATTTTCAGAGGTTTCTAAAGATAATCAATTAGAAATTCCTAATAAGAAATATAAGATTGAATAAGAACCCTAAGTTTTAAATTAATTTTTAAATGAAAATTAAAAGAACGAAACTATTATTTTTAATAAGCAGCCAGAATAAATCATGGTTAATAAGGTTAATGAAATTAAATAAAATTAGCTTCCAAATTTTATTGAAAACATCGAATAAAATTAATATTTAAGCATAGCTTTGTCAAAAAGTAATGAGCATTAACATTTGCTTTTTTAGAAATTCTTAAATTTTCTTGGAATAACACAAGAGGAATATGTTAATATCTAATAATATTTACCTGATGTACCATCTGAATAACTTCCATAATTCTTGGTATAATAAAAGCGAATAAATGAGACTTTTTAAATATAAAAACAACAATAATAGTAATTAATTCATTAAAATTAATAAATAAATTAAGTTATTGATAATTATTAATAGTAACAAAATGATTAATTTTTAATAAATGAATAAGATTAATATGAATAATTTTAGATTTTATTAATCTAGAATTAACAAAATTAAAATTATAAATTCTTGCAAAATCAAATATAAGAATAATAATATTAACAAAAATTTATTGAAATTGAATTTAAGTTTAATCCTGAATTATCAGATGAGAATTTAGAATGTGATATTTGTGCTGAGACTTACATGAATGGAGATAAATTAGCGATATTACCTTGTATCCATAGATTTCATTTAAATTGCATTACTAGTTGGATGTAAAAGTCACCTTAATGTCCAATTTGCCATTAGAGTTGATTTATTTTTTAAAGTAATTTAAGAAATCAAAATTGTTGGTATAAACATATTAAATTTTAAAATAATGAAAAAATTGATATTTGTTCTTATGAATTAAAGACAATTTGAATTTCTACCATTCCTGCTTACTTGAATAATATTTAGATGGATTTAATATAAATTAATATTTAAAAGAGGGTTTGCAGATATGATTAATTGAATGTATTTTTAAAATGAAGTTGGGATTATAAAATTTAAATTTTTAAATAAAGCAGTGTCAGGTGAAATGTTAAAACACTTTACTCAATCATTTTTTTGGAAAAGGTTAAAATCTAAAATTTTTATAGAAATTGACATAGGTTTAGCATTGATTGAGAGAATTTTTAGAGATAGATTTGATAAAATTTAAGATTAGAATATACAAAATAATAATGAAACCTAAGGGATGCAATACAAATAAAGAAAATTAATCTTTTGTTTTATAAAAGTAATAAAAAAAATAGTAAATGTATTATACTTATTTTATAGATTAAACTATAAACATTATGAAAAATAAGTTAATATATATGGTTGAGTATAAGAGTTGTAATATAGGGAAGCATTACTTTATAAAAAATGATAAAAGTTAATAAATTTTTTTATTTATAAATGAAATAGAGCATGGATCCTAGTGATAGTACAAATTAAACAACATAGCTTTGTTTAGTGTGTTCTCCGGAACCACAAAATAAAACATTGTTAAGTCCAAAGGATTTTCGAATAAGAAAGCCAGCTCCTTTAGTTTTGAAACCAATGTTATGTGATTAATAGGAGGATTCTGAAAAAGCAGTTGGATGTGAATACAATTTCAAAGATTTAAGAATAGGGAAAAAGATTGGTAGTGGTGCATTTGGAGATGTATTTGTGGGATTCATTTAAGGTAAATTTATAGCTGTAAAATAAATGGATGGTAAGTAGTTAATAGAATCAGTTGATAATGAGATAATGATATTGTCAAAATTGACACATAAAAATATAGTATAATATTATGGATATATGAAATAAGGAGGTACTTTAAATGTTTATTTGGAATATATGGATGGTATATAATAAATAAGATAATATAGGTGGTAGTTTATCTGATAGATTAAAATAGTTTGGAAAGTTTAATGAAACATTGATTAGGAAATTTACAATTCAAATATTAGATGGATTAATATATTTACATCGTTAGGCTGTAGTACATCGAGATTTAAAATGTGGAAATATTCTTTCAAATTAAAGAGGATAAATAAAGATAGCAGATTTTGGATCATCTTCATGGAAAGAAACAATAAATTTATCAGATACAGAATTTTGTTAATCAATGAAAGGGTATTAAAATAATAATATAAGAGTTCTTTTAAATGGATGGCACCTGAATTATTATTAAAAGAAAAGAAATATGGAAGAAGAGTAGATGTATGGAGTTTAGGATGTGTGATAATAGAAATGGCAACAGCTGAACATCCATGGTATAATATAATTATTAGAATTAGGCCGAATATAAAAAGTTTAGCTTAATTATTAGAAGCTATATAAAATTTGAAATGTCCTCCTATACCTACTCATCTCTCGAAAGAATGTTAAAACTTCATCAAAAGATGTTGTACATATAATAAAGATTAAAGACCACATGCAGAGATATTAAAAGAAGATCCTTGGATAAAAAAAGAAATTTGAATATTTTTAATCATAACTAAAAATTCTCATTATATATTGATATTGATTAAAATGGTTAGTTTCTGATCATTAAAAAATTAATATAATTTTTAATTATGTAATAAGTGGAACCAACATTAAAGAATGTTCTAGAGAATTCCTCTTTGAAATGGATATTTGTTGGAGGTAAAGGAGGTGTAGGTAAAACAACAACATCTAGTTCATTAGCAACATTATTTGCTAAAAATGGAAAGAAAGTTTAAATTATTAATTAAAAATATATAGACAATAATAATATCAACTGATCCTGCTCATAATTTAAGTGATTGTTTTGATTAAAAAATTGGAAGTCAACCTACTTAAATTAAAGGAATAGAAAATTTAAGTGCTATGGAAATAGATCCTACTGTTGATCCAGATAAATTAAAATTACCAACTCTATAAGGATTTATGAATGATTAAGCTACAAAATCATTATTATCTGAATTAATTAGTTCAGTACCAGGTATTGATGAAGCTATGAGTTTTGCTGAATTAATGAAGTAATCTATTCTAATATTATATTAAAGTTCTGTTGATGAAATGAAATATGATTTAATTATTTTTGATACAGCACCAACTGGACATACTTTGAGATTACTTAATTTTCCAAATATTATGGAAAAAGGATTAAATAAATTGGTTTAGCTTAGATATAATTTCTAAAATCTTGCTTCATAATTCCAAGGACTTTTTGGATCATAAGAAGAATTTGATTAATAAATGAATCAAATGTTTAGTAAAATTGAAACCATGAAAGAAACAGTTACAAAAGTTAATGCATAAATGAAAGATAAAGTATATTCTTTATCTATATTTCAGACTAAAACTACATTCATTGGTGTTTGTATTCCAGAATTCTTATCTATGTATGAAACTGAAAGACTTGTTCAAGAACTTACCAAATTCAAAATTGATATTCATAACATAGTTATAAATCAAGTACTCTTTCCAGGTATTATATTATTATTATTAACTTTTAGAGGATTAATGTAAAATGTGTAATGCCAGAGCTAAAATGTAAAAGAAATATTTAGATCAAATGCTTGATTTATATGATGATTTCCATGTTGTTATTATGCCACTCTAAGAAAATGAAGTCAGAGGAGTTGATGGTCTCAAATAATTTTGTGAACTCCTATTAAAACCCAAAACAGTACCATCATTTTGATTTAAGGGTTATTTTATTATATATATAATAATTATCAATGCAATAGAACTCATCCTAAACTGCTATCCAAACATCAAGTAAAAACTTTATGAAGAAATCTTAACATTAAATCAAAGTTGACACAAAATTGGTTGAAATTTCAGACAATGAGGAATTTGAAAAAAATTTCGAATTCAGAAAGAACTAGAACATGGGCTTTGTATAATTTAATGAATCAAATCATTATTTTTATTCTAAAGATTCCAGTATACTCTAAAAACCTGGATTTGGCCTTATCATTGGTCTTCTGCTCTTCACATAATTAAATGCTTATTTGTAAGACATTTACTTTCTCTTAATTAAATATCCAATTACAAAAGTAGCAGATCTAGATATTCCGGCTGCACAATGAACTATAATATAATTATATAGTTTACTCAGAACATTAGTGTTTTATAACTCTCTATCAATGTCATGGAAAACTTTTGAAAAATATTTTTATATTTTAAAATCTGCTTTATCATCAATAAAATAATAGTGATGTTTGATTGTATTATCATAATAACTAATAGGTTAACCATTTGCTACAGTTATAACACAACAAATTTAATGTGATTTTAACCATTACTTAACTTATGTTTTTTGATAATACTTTATTCTATGCATCATCTAAATCTCCTAGATATAACTTATATTTATCTTCTAAAATCAAGGTGGCCCCTTCATGTTTTTTAATTGATTATTATTATTATATATTCTACATTTATATTATTTATAATTAAAAAATTTAACTTAATTGATTTTATATAAATTACCTATTTTTGGGTATAAAAATTGAATATTCCAAATATATATACTGATTTTTTGTGATTTAAATGTGGTTCTAAAATTTAAATTAAAGTAATAATAAAATTAATAAATGGGAGACAAAGTTGTATTAGGATATTGGGCTATAAGAGGTCTTGCTTAACCATGTAAGAATTGAATCACTATTTATAGTGAGATTCTATTTAGAGTATCTAGAATTGCCATATGAAGATAAGAGATACTACAAACCTGAAGAATGGTTTATTGATGTGAGTTCTGCTCCACTCAATCAACATGTGCTAGTTAACTTACCTTACATAAAAGATGGAGATGAATTAGTTTTTGAAAGTTAAGCACTCTATGTTTATTTGGCTTATCGTGCAAATAAACCAGAATTATTAGGTTAAAATCCAAAGGAATAAGTAACTCTAGCATCTGTTAGAGGAGTTTTGTAAGACTTATTTAAAAGTTTGATTTCATTATTCACAATTCCAGAAGATCAATATGAAGCAAGGAAGGATGATTTCTTCAATTCAGAAGTTATTTGGATTGCTGAAAAGTTAAGTAAATTCTTAGAGAATAGAAAATGGGCTGTGGGAGACAATTTAACATATATAGATTTTTAGTTATTTGAAGCCGAAGAAATTTTAAGAAATTATAAACCAGATACTTTTACTACTTTAGTAGGATTAAAAACACATAATGAATCTTTTGCTAATTTACCTGCAATCAAGCATTATCTATCTTCAGATAAAATGATTGCTCGTCCATTCTATCCACCAGGAATGTATAGATGGGGATGAGTATAATATTTATATATATATAATTATACATATTTATACAATTGTTTTTTAATTTTTGTATTATTATTAAACATAAAATTATATTAAATAACATTCCTAATTTAAATAATATGGAATGGTAAAACATTATTGATGCATTATGTATTAATATTTTTGGTAAATTGTTAAAATAAGGAACATATAAACATTTAAACAATATTCAGTCCAATTTTGTCAATAGTTAATAAATAGGAATTAAGAAATAAGTTATTAAATTTCTAAAATAAAAAAGGAGAATGGCTTATCTAATTTAACACTTTTTGGTACTTGCCGTTCTAAAGAATCAAAGCCATTTTATTAGAATTTAATGGGTTAAATAATTGACTTCATATTTAATTCTCCTTCTTTTTGAATTACTTCTATCATATTCCAAAAAGATTCCTTAATCTAAATTTATTGATAGAATAAAATACAGGTTTCTTGTATCTGTAAGACATTCTATCTTTTAGCCACTCAGAATTTGATATGGATGTGTCTTCTTTTAAATTGTATTTATTGTTAGGAGGACAAAATACCTATCTTAATTTCATTTATCAATTACACTAGCCTTCATATCAAAATAACGAGATATGAGTACAATTTCAATATCACATAAGATTTAAGTTCCTTCTATGATTCTATTTTTTTAAATCTAATTCTATGGTTTGAGTTATTCATTTAATATATATGATGCAAAATGATTCTAAGTTGTTTAAGGTTAGACATTTCTCATCACATCTTCTGCATTAATAAAAGGTGTAGATGCTCCAAATTAAAAACTTGGAATAGACAATCCACCTCCAAGATGTCCCATTTATAAACTATCTGTTTATTTTAATATTTATGGGAATGATTCACCTATGTTTTTTTATAATTAACTTACTTGAATTACGAACTTGTAATGTTGGAGGTTGATTCATAAAATCTTAAACAACTGGTAAGTAACAATTATAAACGAAGAATGTATTGCTAGGAGCTTAGTTTAATTGAGGAACCAATTAATCTTATTTTCCTTCTTTGATTGCATCAGATAACATCGATATATTTCTTTATTAATGAATTAAAATTTTAACTATTCTAATTATATTATATAGATGATATTTTTAAAAATATTATTTCAGATAACAACAGTAATAATTATATGCATTTCATATTAATTTAAAAACTAAGGACAGAACAATAATTGTTAAAAATAATTTTATTTACACACTAAAATGAGAGTTGATATAATTAACTTTGATTTAATACATAAATGATATTAAGTTTAAAATTTTATTCATTATATTAATTTAGATCTCAAATTCAATATAATAATAAAATGCAATAAAAATAATGATAATATTAAAAACAATACTATTAGTAAAAAAATTAATAATTAAACAAATATATTGTAGAGTATTTATTTTAGAAATTATAAATTGAAAAATAAAAAAAAAAAATTGTTTATATATATAAGTTTACATGTTGTAAAAAATAATAATTCATATCAAGCAGCAACTTTTTCTCTTTATTTAGTATCCAAGTATTCCTTAAAATTCGATTTAGGAGGAAAAGGTCTTTCACCTAATATAGTAATAAGATCGTTAAGATCAAGAGTTTCCTTTACTAATAACTCTTCTGATAATTTTTAAATTTGTTGATGATATTTTTAAATGATTTATTCAGTTCTTTAAGTACATTGTAAAATAATCTCTCTGACTTCATCATCAATAACTTTACTAGTTTCATCACTAAAAGAGTTAACATTTTCATCTCTAAAACCTTGATTACCAATTTTGTCACTCATTCCATATTTTGTTACAATATTATAGGCTAGATTTTTAACCTTTTAAAGATCATCATATGCTCCAGTAGTGACTCTTTAGAAAAAGTGTTTTTCACTACATCTACCTCCTAAGATACAACAAATTTTATCAAGTAATTCTTATTTAGTAAATAATGAACTTTCATTAGGTAAATATTAAGCATAACCAAGTGAACCTTTAGAACGTGGTATAATAGTTAACTAATAAAAATATAAAATATAAAATTACTTTTAATAATGGATCTCCTCCTTCTAGAAACCAACTAACAGCTGCATGTCCACTTTCATGATAAGCAACAACTTTTCTTTCTTCTTCAGAAATAATTCTTTTTTTTTCAATACCTGCCATAACTCTTTCAGCAGCCATTTCAAAATCATGAGAATCTACATGAGATTTAGATTATCTAGCAGCTAAGATTGCAGCTTCGTTACATAGATTAGCAATTTCAGCTCCACTAAATCCTGGTGTTAATGTAGCTAATCTATTAGCATATTCTTCTTAAGTTTTAGATGGATCTAAATTTAATGGTTTAAGATGAACCATAAATATTTATTTTCTACCATTTAAATCAGGTAATGTAACTTCTATAAATCTATCTAATCTACCAGGTCTTGTTAAAGCAGAATCTAATTAATCAGCCATATTAGTAGCAGCTAAAACAATAACATTATGATCAGTAGCAAATCCATCCATTTCAACTAGTAATTAATTAAGAGTATTTTCAGATTCATCATTACCCAATCTAGCTTATCTTTTTTTACCTATAGCATCTATTTCATCTATAAATATAATTGATGGACTTTTTTATTTTGCTTATTCAAATAAATCTCTAACTCTACTTGCACCTAAACCTACAAACATTTCTACAAATTCTGAACCACTAACATAAAAAAATGGTACACCAGCTTCACCTGCACATGCTTTTGCTAACATTGTTTTACCTGTTCCTGGAGGACCTGTTAATAAAGCACCTCTTGGAATCTTTGCACCCAATTATTTAAACTTATTACTATTCGTCAAAAAATCTACAAATTCTTTTATTTCCACTTTCACTTCATCTAATCCTGCTACATCTTAAAATTTCACCTTTACATTCTATTCCATCTAAAATTATTTATGATTTGATTTAAACATTCCCATCATACCTCCCGTACCTTTTTCACGAAATAATCTCAATATTTTTATAAAATTCAATGATATTAATATTGCAAATCCTAGAGGAATCACATCTAATACTCTATCTAATAATTATGAATTTTAATTCTCTCTGAATGATACTTTTATCATATTTTATGGCTCTACATTTGCTTTTAATTATAAATATTCTAAATTCTCTAAAAATGTATCAGGATTTCCTAATTTTAATTTATATCTTCCTTTCTCAGATATTATATGAGCATATATTGCATCTGAATCTGATGATGGCCTTATTTCTATTGATTTTGTTGTTGGATATATCTAATTCACAAATTATGTAATATTTATTCGACCTTCACTTCCTGGTATTACATAATCAATTAAATAATATCCCATTAATGCACCTGATAATGTTAAAAGTAATCTGCTTTAACTATCCTAATCTTCAGGTTAATTCTATTGTTATCTCTTCCATTTTTATTATTAACTGAAATCTTTATTGCTTTTTTAAGATGTTTATTATTCCTATTAATCTTACTCCTATTATTCTTCTTTCTATTCCTTCTATTTACCATTTCTTCCTTATTCTTCTTCCACTCTTGGTCTTTCAAAATTTTCGAATCCTTTCGGAGGTTTTTTGTTACCAAAGAAAAATCTTGGAGTTCTTTGTATAATTCTTACTATTCGATTTTAAAGCATAAATAAAAATAATTCAATAATTTATATATATAATCCCCATCTCTTATTCTCTTTTTCTATATTATCCTTCACCTTCTAAACTATCATTTATCTCTTATAATTAGTAGTATTTACTCAATTTTAATATATTAGATTTCTTTATTGAATTTTTTATCATTTATATTATTTAAAATATATGAAATTTGACATAGTTAGTATAAAAGTAAAACACATTTACTTCAAAAAAAACTTTAATAAAGAAATAAAATTATAGAAAAATAGATATAACTATCAGATTTAAAAACAAATTTCTCGGAAGATAGATACCTGTATAATCATCTTATTTTTGGAATATTCAAAACTTTAACTGCAAAATTGGAAAAAGATTCAGATCATTAAAATATCATTATCTCATTACATAATATAAAACTGTAGAAAAATCAAATAGAAAAATTGACAAAACGTATTAAAATTATGATTATATTTTTACTAAAGAATAGAAAATTAATAATGAGGAAGCAATTAGAATGCTGGTAAACTTAAATTTTATACAGGACGTTATATAATGAGAATGAACTCAATTTTAGAAAAAATTTATAGCTTAAATTTTATCTCAATTTATTATTTAAGTTGAAATTGATTTTGCTAATGTCAAATAGATCGATTAGAATTGTCCATATATAATTAATTATAAAGGAGTAATATGTATTCAACTCATGCCAGACTATGAATGTTATATTTGCTTATACAAGCAACGAAGAATTTTGAATGTCTTGAAAAGCATTTAAAAAAGTGCAATATTTTCTAGAATAATTAAGATAGTATATAAAAAAGGGAATTACAAAAAGGAAATTTTGAGTAGTAAAAAAGAAAGGTATTTATAAATATCATACTCTCAATGAATAGAGAAAGAATGTTTATTTGATCTGATAATTTCCAATCTTAAAAAATGTTAAACATATTTTAAACAAAGCAATTTGATTGAGCACTCATTCAATTGGTTATCTAAGCTAAGTTAAACAAATATAGAATAAAAGGGATAAATCAAATATATCTTAATTTAAACTTTATTGGATTTAAGTGATAAGAAAGGAGGGTTGGGTGCAGATCACTAATAAATTTAGAAACTCGAAATTTAATGAGAACATTAGGAAAAGTTTCAAATAGGTTATTAATAAGGTATTATTATATAAAATTTCTCAAAACATATCTAACTTAAACTTTAAAGACTCTTAAAATCTATTCCTTCTACTTTTATGAAACTGGGAAATTTTGAATCAATAAAAATTATTTGTATTATTTTACTTGATTTAATTCTTAGGCTCTTATACCTAAATTTTTATCTATTTAATTTTTTCTAGAATATCTTCATTTAAAAATTTAGTATTATAACAATGTACAAAGCACTATGAATTAAAACAAATTTAAAATAAATTCATTTTAAATAATTTATTTTTTAAAGAGATAATCCAATCTCTGACTAAATGAAATGTAGATATAGAATATTATATTTTAGAAGTGTTTTCAAAAAGATAAATATTTAATAGTTAGATTTAATTGATTATTATCTTGAAAAACTATTTGAACTAAATGATATTTATATTCATAAATTAACTTTTATGAATATAAAATTATTAGAATTCATGATTTAGACTATTCATTTAAATCTCCCGAAAGCATCAGAATTTCATTTCTAATTATTTTAATAATCGAAATAATATATTTTATTAATTATTTTACATTACTGCAATCATGGGTTGTTGTTCTAGTGCTGCAAATGAAATTCATATACCTGCTGATAGAATATAAAATGAATAACATTAAAATAAAAAAAATACAGAGAAAGGGAATGAATAACTGTAAAAAAATAAACAAGTTGATTAAGATAATGAAATCTTAATTTAAAATCAAGATTAAGCTCAAACTGATTAATAAATGTCAAAATCATTAGCTATTCAACAAACTTCTCCTTAGGAAAGCTAATAAATGTATTGAAGTTATAAATTATACTAATAGGCCATAAAATCCATATGAGTATAAGGAATAGCAAACAGAAGAGTATATGAAGAAATCTAAATAATTTGATGATAATTAAAATACAGATTAAGATGACTTGACTTCAAGTAAAAATTTTTTAATCATTTAGTTGTGAAAAAAGAGGTCTAATCAATAAGAGAATTTTTATAAAGAAAGAGATTACTTAAAGCAAAAGAATAGTAAAATTCTAGGGAATAAATGAATATTATTGAAGAATTCGAAAGATTAATTCACAATAAATAATTAAAATTAGATTCATTGAATGTAAGTAAAATTTAAATAAATTTAAGGATATTTGTTAAAAATATAATATATCTTTGATAGAGATCTTATCTTTAATGAATGAGTAAAATTATTATTTAATTGAATTAATTCTCATTTACATCAATGATTATGAAATAATTCAACATGTTTTACTTAATAATATTCTACCTGAAGGATAGATATTATAAGTTACTGCTATTAGATTGATTAATAAAATGAAGCCATTTTACAGTAGTCAGGAATAAATTGAATAAACTATAAATTTCATCTAATCAATATTTGATTCAGATGAGATTATTCGTATTTTAAATCAATTGGAATTTAGTAACATAGATTCATATATAAATATGAAAGATTAAGATTAATTAAGACTATTTGGATTGATTAGTAAACTATTTTTAAAAAGTGCTAACCATGCAAATTTAAATTTTATTCAATAATATAAAGAGGCTAAAAAGAATTACAATTTTTAAAATTTGATAGTTCCAAAATCTATACCTTTAGGATAAAGTAATATTAGAATTGCTGATAAAGCTTAATTAGAATATTTATAATTCAATATTTTCCATTAGATTGCTATATAAAAAAAATGGGATTTATTTTTATAATATTCAAATGACTATTATTTGATGCCAAATATTTCGTAAACCACTCCTATGATGATTTTATTTTAAGAGGCTCCATTTACTGTTATAAATGACTATAACATAAAATATCCAGATTCTGTTGAAAAATCATTAAATTTCTTTACTAAGAGAGGTAAGAATTTAATACATTGTTTATGTTTAAATAAAACTCAAAGGTCTATTGATGATAGTAAATTAATTATTGATAAATTAAATGAATATTAAGAATTGTTAAAACATTTATTAGTTTAACCCTACAATGAACAAATTCCTTTAGTTACATATTTAGATTGTTAAAAAGATCCTTAAGATATTTTTATTTAATTTTTAAGTTAACATTTATAAAAAGAATTTGATTTTTTTTAAATTTATTTAGAAGTCTTATAATTTGCATTTAAAAAAAATCGATAAGGCAATCATAGAATAAATCCAAATACAGATTATTTTTATTCAATTTAAAATGGAAATACTCCAAAAAGATTGAGGATTTAAAATTATGAAGAATAGAATTATAAAAAATTTGATATAATATATTATCAATATATCTAAGTAGCTAAATAGTTAATAAAACATAAATTTAAAATAAATTTGAATTGGATTAATAATTTTGATATTCATTCAACTCACTATCCATATGAATACAGTGGAGTAGTAAGACCATTGTTGATTTTATTAATATAAAATGATTAATTTGATTTAGTAAAGCAACAAGTAGAATTAATAAAAGCAAGTTATTAGTAATAGATTGAGATTAATAATGAAATCCATATTTAATCTCAATTTATATCTAAGTTAATTTAAATAATTAAATTTTCATCAGATAGATCATAATTAATTCCTATAATAAAAGATATCTAAGAAGCAATATAATCTAATCCTTAAATACTGAAGATTCCTTTACATGGATATTTTGATGCAAGATCTAAATAGAATTTATATTGTTTTGATTGTATTTATACTCAACTTATAGATTTGAATGATAGATCTTTTGATTAATGTTATTAAATACAAGGTTAACAATTATAATAGAATGAAGTAGTTTGTTTATAAATAATTCGAAAACTCTTTTTAAATCACAAATTGTTACAAGTTGATGATTAATTTATTAATGAAATTTATAACAATATTACATTTGTTGCTAATTTTGAGTAAGACAGTAATTCTGAAAATGAAGTAGAAGAAAAAAAAGGAAGAATCATTTGGAAAAAATCTAATCTACCATCAAAGTATGTAGATGATGATGATGGTATAACTTATTATAGAATCAATCATTTTAAAGATTCAAAATATATTGTTTTAGTTTTAAAGACAATTAATGATAATGAAGGACCTACATATAATTTTAAGGAATTTATTTAATTCTTAAAAATTAAGGAATATGAATATACTGTTAGATAAGAAAATTTGTTTGATACAATTTGTAATTTAAATTTAAATTAAGATGATCAAATATAAACATTAATTACACTTAACTTTGATGATAACTTTAGAAAATTCCCATAAGGTTTACATCTTTTAGATGATTATTTTGATATTAGTGTTAATTCTTAATTTTGGAGTACTTCATTATTTATTTATGCAAATTAAATAAAATTTGACTATAATTTTATTCTTTAGGATGAAGGAACAATTAGATTTACAATATTTAAAATTTAATAAGATTAATTAGAAAATTGTTATAATTGGGAGTTAGCTGGTATGATTTTAAATTTGATTGTATATCCTTAAGAATTTCCAGTTGCAAGGAATTATAAAGAAAAGGCAGTATTATATACAATATAAAAAAGAAAGCCATTTCTTGCATCATTGATAACATTTTAAGAATGTTATAAAGATTTAACTAAACAATATCCTCAAGATAAAATCAGTGTATATATACTTGAAAAACTATCATTAAAAGATATTATAGAGAATGAATCATATCAAAGTTTGAATCATCTCTTAAATATCACTAATACTAGTAGAAATGTATTAGCATATCTTTTAGCTAAAGAATACTTCCCTTAAAATTATTCGAATACTCCAAATAAAGAAGAAGTTAAAAAATTTAATGATGCTTTACAAATATTATTTTAAAATTTATATTACAATTAAGAAACTCCAAAAGGATATTTAAATTCATTCGAAAAATGCTATTTATATTCATTAATTAATCTTTAATCCTATCAAATTCTTGAAAAGAATTTTGAAGATTTGAATATAATGTAAGTAAAAGATATTTTAAATGCATGTAAAGATAAAGAAGTTAAAATTGAATTATTAAATGATTTACCAGATTAAATAATTATTGAATCTTTAAGAAATTCATTAACTAATGTATGTATTTAAGATTAACAAATGATTGTTCCAGTTTTTAAAAAATTGTAATCTCTAAATCTTGAAAACAGAAAACTTTTTTTTGTTAAAGCAATTTTACTATAATTTTTCAATTTAAATCCAACTTAAGCAATTGATTGTTTATTTGAAATTCTTGAAATAGAGCAACCAGATTATCAATTAAAATTTATTTTGCATTTATATTCACATGCATATCGAAATAAAGATTAGAAATCACTTAATCGTTTATTAGGATATTTGGATATGTATTTAGATCCTGAAAAAAAAAAAAAGAAAATTTATATTATGTTAGGAAATTAATTTTCTATTGATCATGAATATATCAATTACTTTTAAGCTTTAAAGTATCCTCCTTGTTTAGTATTAAGTACAAAGTAATATAAAACTTATTTGGAATAAAATAAATTTGATAAAATGAAATTAAGAAATGATTATCTATTATGTGTAAGAGAAGGATTATATGAAAAAATTGAAATTTTAAATAAAATAATTGGTTCATTTGATTAAATCAAGGAATAAGATACTTTTTGTCAATTTATTGCTTTATTTTTAATTGAAGCAAAAATATAACCTTTTAATTAATCTTTAATGGATAATTAAGTTGATTTTCTTGATGAATATTTTAATTATTTGAAATAAATGAAAAGGTATTAATTTTTTAATTAGAATCATCAATATACTTTAGAAAGGAAATAATTAAAATAAAAAAATTCAATATTAGAGATTAGATAGAAAGCCTAAGAATTATATGATAATTCAAAGAAAGTTATTAATCATTCAATAAAAAAACTTGAATACATCAATAAATCAGAGTTTTAATTAATTTTTAAATAAAATTAAGCATATTCAAAATAGAATCAAAATTATTCTTGTTTATTTTAGTCTAGTTATAATTGTTAATCTTAAAATTATGAAAAATGTTTTGAGATTGTTTAAAAATGGGCAAATTAAAAAACATTATGTTAAGTTTCTCCATTTTATGAAAGAATTTATGTTCTTCGATATCCTAACAAATAAGTAATTCAATAAAAAGAACAATTAATAGAAATGTTAATCAAACATTTTTTAATTAAATAAACTGGACCTAGTTTTTTAAAATATAAATCAAAAGAATATATTTTATTATTAAAAGCGAATTGTTCAAATTAACTTAATAAATATATGAAAGATAATTTTAGAAATATTCGTCCTTAAATGATGGAATTATTTGTTTAAGAAATGATTTGTGAAGATAAAAAATATGATCCAAGTAATGATGATTTGGATTATATTATTATGAAGATGAAATATTAAAATATAAAGTTAGTACCGATTCTAAAAAAGAAATATAAAGGATTATAAACTATAAAATTTAATTCTGCAACATTATTTTATGCAAAAAATGAAGTAAATCTTTTACCATAAACTGAATATGATATATCATGTAAAAAATTTGAGAAGAGAATGCAATTTTTTGCTAGATTTATTAGTGGAGTTGGAGCAAACTTAAAAAAATTAACACCAGTTTAAGTTTATTTGATTTTTGGTAAACACAATCATATTTTACAGAAACCTCAATTTAGTTATGAAAATTTAATACTTGCTCTTATTAGTGGTAATATGGATACTATTATTTATATAATATAACTTAATCAGTAACCAAATAAACTTGTCTTTGAATAGAATATTTTTTAATTAATTATTTAAGGAAATTATAATGACAACCTTATTTTAAAGTTTTTCAATAAATATATTAAAGATTAAGTTAAATAAACCAATAGAATTTTTGTACTTGATAATTAACCAATTTTGTATTATTTAATGTTAATGAAAAAATAAAAATTATTTGAAGATATTTATTTACCTTTTATGATTTAAATACATGGGGAATAAAAAGCTATGTAATTATTAAAGGAAGAATTATTATCTAGTTAATGGAGCAATAATAAGTAGGATTTATTAGGATTGGCATTAATGAGAAAAAACTATTTTATTTTAAATTATTGTTAAGATATCATAAAAAAAGAACATCTTAAATTTATTTAACATTATGATATAAGTTTCTTTTAATCAATAAAAATTTAATAAAACAATACTCCATATTCTAAATTTATTGAATTATACTAAAAATATCTGCCTTTATGTTGTTAATAATTAAAATTTAAATAATTTAATAAATAGATTGTATAAGATTCAAATGGAGTTTATAGAATTAAAGATGAAAAATAAATTGATGTAAGAGAATTATAATTAGTATAACTTATATAATATGAGTAAGCTTGCATAAATTATATTTTTAATTTAGATGAAGATTATTATTTTCACAACAAATCTTTGACAATTTAGATGGCTTTATACAAATGGAGCATGTTAGAAAAATACTAATTTGATCCTATTCTTTTATAATAAATTTTATAAGATTATAAATAACCAAATGGATCTTATAATTTAAATTAAGAAGAATATCATATGATTCTTGAATAATGCTAATAATATAGAATATATTAACATCCAATTTATGATGAAATTGCTGTTATAGATCCTAAATTATTCATTGAAATTACAAATCCAATGATTTTAACAATTTCATCAGTAATTGTAGTTAATTAAGCTTTATATTAAACTCCTGAATTAAATAATTACGTATAACACCATTATAACAAATATATAGAAAGAAGTAAGTTAGAAGAATTAAAAAAGAAAAAATCTATAAAAAAAGAAAAAAGTGTTATTTTAAATGAAAATGATAAATAAAATGAAAATTAACATTAACATTAAGATGAAAATGAAGATGAACATTAAGGTGAACATTAAGATGAAAATGTATAATAAAATGAAAATGAACAATAAGATGATAATCAAGAATAAGATGAAAATGATATTTAAGATGATTAGATAAATTAAGAATATGATTAATAAAATAATGATATGTAATACAATATTGTTTATGCTTTTTACTTATTACTTTGTATTTAATAAGATTAGTATAAAGAATGGTTAACAAAGTAGTTATAATTGAAGATTGTAGTAGAAATATACTAATGTCTTTAAAAGAAGTAATGGAAAATAAAATAAAATAAACCATTTGTAACAGAAAATAGTAAGAATTTCTTATTATCATTATTAAATCGAGATTATAAATTTAAAGATTATTCTTATTTTTTATAAATTTTAGAGGAGGAGAATTATAAAGAGTTAGCTATTTTAAGAGGAATAATGTATATTTAATAAATAAATGAAATAATTTAAGGTTTTATTGATAGATTGAGTGAAGAAATATTAACGATCAATAATTTTAATAAAAATGTAATACTTGTATTTGGAAAAGAATAAATAACTTATGAAGATGGTGCTTTTACAATTCCACTTTAATATGGAGATAAATCATTTTATTTATTGGAAGAAAATATTGCTTAGGCTATTCCTTAATTAAAAATAGCAAATTATCAAATGAATATTGAAGTAGAATTGATATAATATCAAGAAATCTAAGAGAATTGGAAAAATTTTGATTTCAGTTCAATTACAACAGTAGATTTTCGTGAAATTATTATAAATTCTAAAGAAAGTGTGTTTGAGAAATGTTTATTTTTTAAAAATTTAATGGAAAAATAATTTGATAAAGTTGGTATTTATTAAATAGATGATGTATTTGCCCCTCATTAACATGAGTAAATTAGATAAACTGAATTACAATCATATCAATCTCAAATGTAACCTCCATCTTTAATTCATTAAAGTTAAAGTTAAATGGGTTTATCTTAAGGGAATTAAATTTAAAGATAATAATCTACAATAAATTAATAATAAATTATGAAGGAAGATTTTCAATTTATGTTTGAACTTTTACCTGATAATACCTATTAGGTTAGATAATAAAAAAAATAGAAAAATTAAAAAGAATTAATTTTTGCTGAGTTTTATCATTTCATTTAACCATAAGTAGTTATTAATTTAATAAAATTATCTGAAGAAGAATTTGTTGCTAATTATAATGGAACTGCTGTAATCTCAATGATAATCTAAGATTTTTATAGATATAATGAATATCTTAGTAATTTAATAGAATAGAAATAATCATAAGATTGGAGATTAGAATTTCCATTTTATATCAAGAACTAACATTTTGTATTTTAAGATTAATTATTTTCTACATATAATATTTAAATGATTTTTACTAAATTGGTTGCATTTATAGAAAAAGTCAAATAATTATTAGGTAGAAGTGAAGATTAAAGTAAATTGGTTTGGAGAATAAATACAATCTCATTTCTTGAAGTTATTGTGAGTAGATTGGTTGAACTCTAATAAGCAACTCATAAAATAATAAATATTTATTCTATAATTGAATAAGTATTTAGTTGGGATACATTGATTATGATTTTACACTAATTGCTTTATAATAATTTGATAAAAGCATAACAAGTATTAAAAGTTATTAGAGGAGTTTATATTGAATTTAATGAATAGTAAGGAATTTAATTTGTTTTAAGTAATTAAAAAAAAGGATTGGATAAAATTTTTTAATTTGGAAATACAACTTACCTTCTTTACAATCACATTTTAATTATTAGATTGAATATTGGAATATGTAATTAAAAAGATTAAAATGTTTAATAAGATTAGTAGATAGTTTAATAAAGTAGTAGAAGTGTTTTTAAACCAGATCCAATGATTTAAGAATATTTTCACAGTATCATAAATGAATATGATTTTTACAATTAAATCTTCAACGCAGAATAACTAGTTTAATATTTATTCAATAAATTAGATATAGATAGACATTTACTTAATTATTCAAATTAATTAAGTAAAGTTTTAAATAAAACAATAACTTTATCTGTTGATCATTAATCTTTAGCTTCAATTTTTTCAAATGAAATTTATAAGATTAGTTAAAATAAAAATAGTAAAAATAGATTAAAAGAAATGGAATAAATTTGGTACATTTTATTAAAATTAAATAAATATTTTAAAGAAGAATTATACAACTATTTATAAAAATAATTGAAAGCTGAGAGATTTGATGATATGTTCAATATTAGATTATCATGTTTATTATCTTCTTTAAGATAAAATCAACCATTAATGAACATTATTATATCAAATACAAGATAATTATAATTAAAATAAAAATCAAAAATTTTATAGAGATTAGGTTATGTGACTTAAAAAAGTGATATAAAATTATCATATCATTTTGGATTTTAAATTTCTAAGAATTATTATGTAAATAATAGTAAATTAGGAGATGTTTGTATGGTAGTTTATTGTGAAAATTAGAAAAATAATTTAGTAGCTTGTTAATTAGTTTATAATTCTAAACCAGGACATTTTTTATTTTCTTAATTAGATTATATGAATTAAGAACTCTTAACTCAAGAAAGGATAACTAGAAATTAAGCTCATTATTCTGGATATACTAGTTCTAATATTGAACTTCTTTATGTGTAAATTGAAGATTTAATGTCAATAGTATTATTTTAACAAATATGGCCTTCTGATCCTCTATTTAATTAATCAATTTTAAATGTATTTTTTACAGATTAAGATGGCAATATTTCAATTTGTAATGAATCAAAATTTGTTACTCTAATGAGTTAAATTTAATGTGAATAAGATGAATTCAATAAATAAGAGATGCTTGATAATCTTTTTGGAAATGGTCTTGTCTCTTCATATAGTGATTTAAGTCTAACATAATTGACACCAATTTTTCCAGATTAAATAAATTTTGATTTTGCTGCTATTCATTAATTAAAAAAACAACAATCATTAGTTTAAGGATAAAATGTTTTTGTTAGAATTAATGGAGATAAATTTAAACTTGATTAAATTGAAATTGCATCTGTAAGTATGGCTTGTCATTTTGAAACTAATGTTATAGCTTAATAATTATAAAAAAATTTTATTAAATTTCTTAATGAACATACAGAATTAGCTAATATTTTTCTACATTTTGATGATTAAATGAATTAAAATCCAGAATATTATGTAGATTGTATTTTAGTTGGTGGAACAATATTTGAAGCCTTTTAATATGGTTATTAATCATTTAAAGATGGATATTCTTATCCAAGTTTAAATAATTCATTATAATATTTATTTGAAATTTAATCTATTTAAATTATGAAAATTAATTTCATTAAGACATTTTTCGAAAAAGTTGAATTTATTTTTGAGAAAAGCTTTTAAAGTCAAAAATAATTAATTTAATATGAAAATGGAACATTTAAATGTTATACTTTAATTGATGATAATGATAATGTATAAGTCCCAGATTCAGGTCAAATTGCTTAATTTTTATTTAATTTAATTTTGAATTTTTAAGAAAATAAGAAAGACTCTTATTTTGATGATTAAAATTTGCATATAGAAAAAGTAGGAGATATTTAAATAGAAAGTATTAAAACTGTTGTTGATATAATTTTATTACTCAAATATCTATTTAAATTATTAAAATTAATTGATGAGAATATTAAATTAAATGTTTCAATTTTAGCATAGAAAGAAATCAAAACATAATTTAAAAATACAATTTATTAATTTATAGATGATGGATCTCATCTTATAATAAATTATGAAACATTTAGTGATTTTAATATAAGTGATTTCTTCTTAGATTATCTTAACAATAAGCAATTTTACATAAATAATAGATATAATGATAAAATCAAATACGAAGGACCAGAATTAATAGTAGATAAATTGGAACTTAATCCAAGAAAACTCTTAAGTGGAATTGATGAAAATTCTCAAGTTGAATTATTAATCTTTAATTTAGAGAAAGGGAGATTGTAAGATTTAAATATTCTTGATCCTAATTAAATTGATTAAGCTTATTTTATTTTTAAAGTAGATGGAATCCATTAAAAATTTTAATCTGTTAAGTGTTACACATATAAACCATTGACAGGATATTTTAAATAAACTACTTATGAATAAACAATTTGCAATCCTTTATATTTATTGATATTAGATTTGGAATCTAATAAATAATTGGAATAACAATTAAATAAGATAGAGATTTTACAATCTAAAGAAAAAAACACAAATTTAATGAATTTAATAAAAAAAGAAAAAAAAAAATAATAGATATAAGTTTCCTATAGATTCATAGCTAATAAAACATTATTAGTTGAATTTATTAGTGATAAAATACTCAATATGAAATTAAATGTATCTCAATAATATAGATTATCAATGATCTAAAATTAAATATAAAATTAAATATCATTTGAATATACTACTTAAAATAAATAAGATTTGAGTAAGACTACACATGTAAAAGTAATTATATAAGGTAAAGAGAAAATAGTTGAAGTTGAATAAGAAGAATAAGTAGCATTTGGAATAGGAGATGCAAAAATGATGAAAATTTTATTAAAGAAATCAAATTAAAAAATGGATGAAGTTTTATTTCATAAATAATGTGAACCATTAACTCATTCAAAGGATTTATAATTAAGCAATACTATTAATATGTTAAGTAAACAAGAAATTGCAGCAGCATCTAGAGCTGGATAAGAAAGAATTGATTATATAGAATTTAAGGATAATTTGGGTAATAGAATCAATAATTTCTAATATACTACTTTAGTATTTGTTCATTCATTATTTTAATAAATACAATATACTCCAAAATAAGAAAAAAAAGGTTCTGGATTGAATGTAATTTGGACTCCAATTTTTAAAGGAGTCTATAAATTATATATAGATGATGTTAAAATTAAAGGTAGATTTGTTATATTAGCTAATACACCTGATCTATAAGAAAGTGAAATTGAGATTCCTCAAGAATTATAGACAGTACCATTTTATGAAGATATTCCATTTACATTTTAATTAAGAGATATATATTCTAATATTTATGGTGATATTGAGAATGACATTTATTTAGATTGTAAATGTGAAATTAATTGTACTGAAGGAATTACATTATAAGTTAACTTTCAAAATTTAACAAAAAGTGGATCTATGAATGCCAAAGCTCATTTTGCACCTGAAAGTGTTGAAGCATATGCAAAATAAACAGAAATTATGATTTTTATTAACAAAGAAATTAAAAAAAGTAAAATCTTTTTATTTTATTTTTATAGTCTAACCAATTATAATTTCAGGTGTATGTTTGGAAAAAAGAAGAAAAAAATTTGAAGCTGAGTTAGAAAAAAGTTTTAAAAGAACTGAATATTCTTTAGTTATTAGAAGATTAAATTTCTTAAAAGATTTATTAGATTTAGCAGATAAAAAAATGAATTATAATTTCAATATTAAATTTTAAGATGAACCTGGAATTGATGCTGGAGGTCTTAAAAGAGAATTTTATGATATGATAGGTAATACATTAAAAGATGATACATATAAATTTTTTTAACCCGTTCAAGGTAATCTTAGTAAATATTTTCTACATAGTAATTTTAACAAAATAAAAAATAAAAAAGAATATGCTTTATTATTTGGAAAGGTATTTTCTTATTAATATTTATTTAGTTAATTGCTAATTCAATAGCAAATGGTTATTTAATTGGAATTGATATTATTAGTCCTTTTTGGAAGGTTGTTTATGATGAAAAAATTGTTTTTGAAGATCTTATTTTAATTTGGGATAAATAAACATATTCTAACTATGCTAATCTTAGAAATATGAGTTCTGAATCATTTGAAGCACTCTATTTAGATTTTACTTATTAATTAGGAAATTCTACCATTGAATTAATTCCTAATGGATCTACTATGGCAGTTACTTCAAATAATGTAAATTAATATTTAGATAAAACTGCTGAATACATTATTTTCAAATAATTCTCAGACATTTATAAATCATTTATTCAAGGATTTACAACTGTTGTTGATTTAAAGGTAATAATTATTTTTATTTAATTTAAGATTTTCTAAAAATGGTTAAAACCTTCTGAAATATCTTTATTAACATAAGGATTACTTGAAATTAAACCAGATGTTGTGTTGTAAAAGATTTAATATTCAGGAGGAAAGGCTAATCATAAATCTTACTTTGAAACTTATGTAAATTAAGCAGATTCTTAAACTTTAAAGAACATGTTAAAATTTATTACTGGTATATGATTAAATTAACTTTAAGGTTCATCTGCTATTCCATTTGATTAAAGTTCATATATAATATCAGTAGAATTCAAAAATAATTTGGATATTCGAAAATTACCTTTAGCACATACTTGCTTTAAATCAATTGAAGTTCCTTTATATGCTAATTATGGACAAATGAAATAGAAATTAGATATAGCCTTTTCAATCGGTTTGGAAGGATATGGATTTGGTTGAGATTATTATTAATTGTGTCAATTTTATTAATTATTATATATATATATATGTCCATTATTAATCATATAATTCATGCAAATAGATCATCGTCAAAAGGAGTTGATCTCTTTTATATTATAGGATATGTGTTTTAAACAGGTTGATCAAACATATCTTCTAAATCTTTTGGCATCTGTCTATTTGTCTATTAATATGAAGATGTCAAAGGTGTTAATGATTATGTAGTCCTATATAAGGGTTATATTTAATTAGAATATTAGGATTAAGACTAATAATTTAATGGGTTTGGGAATTAATTGTTTTAAATTTAACTTTATTATGCTGGAAATTGATTTGATGTAAAAGATTAACCTTAAAGAGGCATTAAGGATGCTTAAGAATGACTTTTTTTAATTTCTTATTATTAAGGTGAACTGAAGGCTTAATTTTATTAAGGTTAATTAGATTCAAAAAGATCCAATAAATCAGTTTATTATTACTTTTTTTATTATGTTAAAGGCTGTATAGTTTAAAAATTAAATATCTATTGTTATTATTATTATTAATAGCATTGTTATTATTATTGAAATTAATTATGTTATTATAAGAATTGTTATTATATTTAAAATTACTGTTATTATTATAATTATTGTTATTGATATTATTATTATTATTATTGTTATTGTTATTGTTGTTATTGTTATTATTGTTATTGTTATTATTATTATTATTGTTATTATTGTTATTATTGTTATTGTTATTGTTATTATAATTGATTAAAATTATATTAATTAAATAATAGATTTTGATTTTATTAACTTAATATTTATGGCGTATTCATACTATTAAAATTTTACTCTTCTCTAATTTGAAGTCTTTAATCTGGCTACAATTAAGGTGATTATAAATGCTTAATTTGAGATTGCTATTAATTGGAACTGAAATTGGAGTTATTTTACGGTTATGGTTGTGAGTTCCATGAATTTTATCCAAATTCTAAAAAAGGATTAGGTTTATCATTTTAATTATGATGATTTAATTGTGTATTTTATTATATATTGGATTTGGGTTCTTTTTAAGGTGTTTCAAATGTGAATCCAAAGTTGCCAAAATAATTATCTGTTCCATTTGTAGATGGTGTACCAAAATTTGCAAAGTCTTCATTAACTCCTTATTTCCACCAGATTTCTTATTATTTATTTTCAGTTTTGTTTTAAAGATTAGTTGTTTGTTCTTTTGGTAAATTTATTTTAAGTTTCTATAATTGTTCTTATGATATTTTTTTTGGTGGTTCAGGATCTTTAAGAGGACTGAGATCATAGCCATCATGATCATTATTGTTTAAAGGGTGATCTTAAGGATTTTTACTTTGATTATTGTTCCGAGTATTAAAATATTCTGCAAAAGGAATATTATCTAAATAAAGTTCATATGAACTAAATCTTGGAGCAATAGTTACAAGGCATTTTTAAATGTAATGTAGGTATCGAAAATCTCCAAATAAACTAAAAATTAATGAAAAGGAAACAATTTTACCTAGATTCTTAATGAATAGTTCTTCCATTATGTCTAACTTCTTTCTTACCTGAAAGTGATGAAACAAAAAGAGCAATTTCTTGATCAACATTATCTACAGAGAACTTCCATAGATACTTCTTTTTTGAACTAAAGTTATCATAATGATGAATCTTACCTTCTAACATTACGACCAACTTCTTATTCTGTTGAATGTATAGCTTTAATAAACATAAGTAAAAAAGGAAATTAAAATATCGAGTAGTTTCATGACATACAAAATGTATTATATAAAATTATAATCAGAATAATATATAATGTTAGAATTGAGAAAGAATATTCGAAAAAATAAAGGATTAGTTGTGATATATATTTGCAAATTAAGAAGTGGAAGCCTAGAAAATTTGGCTAACTAATAAGCAACCATATAATCATAGAATATATTTAAATATAGTATTTAGTAAACTTGAATTATGAATAATATATCACTAATCTTCAAATTAATTCTCTTTATCATTTTAGTACATTGCCTAATTTACTATCAAATCATTATAATAATTGAAATTGATAGAAAATTATGGGAGGAAACCAAAGTTATAAATGAGACTTCTATCTGATGTAATTGGTTATGGATAAACAATTTCTTCAGGGTAGGTTGGTTAAAATAATGGGAAATCTAATTAATGTTGAGATATAATAGGTTATTAATAGAAAGGATAGAAATGTTAAATTGGTTAGGTTGTTTAATTATCTTTTTTCTTTCTACCTGCTCCTTTTTATCTTTTCTTTACTTAATGAATAAATGGATTGAATTTTTAATGATGTGATCTAATTTGATAAATTAATTATACCTACATTATGAAGGACTGCGACTTCCGATTATCTCACTCATCTACTTAAATATTTTATTACTTTTCTTCTAATCTTAAGATTCCATAATTTCTTTATGTTATTATAGAAAGTCTAAATAAGTTTAGTGCTCTTATTGACTCCAATGTCCAGTTTTTTAAGATGGATTGACAATTTATCTTTTTTTATTTTTCCTACGAATAGGAACTGTACAAATTGGTTAAATAGGTTAGTTAGCCACTTCCTCTTCCTCCTCTTTTAATTATTAACTCAAACTCATTAAATATTTTTTATATTTATTATTTATATGATCAATAATATCTTTTCACCAACTCTTCTCTGGTACATATTTTGGAATTGTACTTCCCTCATGTTATATTGTTTATGATGCTGAATAATTTCCAGCCTTTGCACATTTTATTAAATCTGGACCATTCAATAATTCAGCTATGAATCTAAATAATATTCAAATAATCTAATACCCTCCACAAAATGAATCTCCAGCACTATTTGTACCTACAATTTTTGAAACATCAACTAATTAAACTTCAACTGTAATAACTTCATTTTTCTTAGCAATCAAAGTTGGTTTTTTACCTTAAGTACATACTACAACTCTCTCTCTCTTTAACCAACCTTTTCATATGCAGCAATTTATTACATAACTTATGCAAGATCTCCTTCCAATTTTAAATTCTTAGCAAATTGTTCAACTTCCTCTTCATGACCAAACAAAAAGTCAACATATGGTAAAACAGCCAATATATCATTAAATTTATCACTTACTGCATTTACACTTGATAGAGTCAAACAAGTATTTACACCACTTTCTGATGCTATTTTATATATTTTCTTTGTAAGTTCAGCTCTTGGATATAAGAAATATACTTCACTGAATAAAACTGTAGCTGTTTTAATATCTTGAATATGTTGATTAACATATTCATCGGATAAATGAGCTGCAGCTCCAATTAATGGAACCAAACATCTAATAGTATGTTTAATTTCATAAATCCCTATCTTTATTACATAATAACACTCCACATTTACCTGTAGGTTGCTCTTATTCATCAAATAAGGTTGTTACTCCATCTTTATTGGTCACTTCAATTAACATATTAGCAAATTTGTCCTTTTTTCCAACACAACCAATAAATTTGACTTAATCTTAACCTGCTTAAGCCATCCATCTTGCTAACCTTATTGTATTAAGTGCAGATCCTAAAAATAAGTTAAATTTATCATTTACCTCCTGGAACATGAGAGTGGTAGGAATATTAATTAATTCTTCATATAATGGCAAATGTTTCTCTTCTGCAAAATAAGTGTTATTAAGTGTCAATCCATACTTCTCTAAGAATTCAGCAGGAACTTCTGCTTAAATATCTAGTAATGGACTTCCTAAACCTATGATTTTCTTTGTTTCCATTAATTATTTTATTTTACTTAATATTTCTCACTGAAATTTATACAAGAAATTCATTTATGTATTTATATTCTATATTAATCATAATCAATTCAAACTATTTAATCAGCTCTTTAAAATCTTATAGAGTAACTATTTCTCACTTTCATCTTTCTCCTTACTTACAATATACCAAGAAAATAGAGTTATTCCAAATATTATGACAACAACAAAAAATTCACTAGAAAATATTCCTATTTTATGTAAATTGCAAGCTTTATAATCTACTTATGGATATCTTATTTATTCATCATCACCTAATTAATAATAACAAATCATCTTTTATATTTGTCTAGTCACTTAACATTATTTAATCTCATTCATCTATATATAATTGCATTGATTGCATTAATCATCTACTTCACATTCTATTAAATGATACTCTCGTATTGGATTTGTTAAGGTACTCTTATTTATTGATTTCTACATTTTACTTATTCTTCCTCATTAAAACAATAGCAAATCTAGATTAGAAATTATAAACTTAATAATAACATCAAAAATTAATACAAATTTTTTATTCTTACAAATTTTATACATCCAATATATATATTAAATATTCAATACATCTATTCAAGTAATGTAAATTATTAATATAAATTCTGATTATTTATTTCAATAATATAGAAATGGCTATAAATAATAATTACATATTTAAGATTAATCGAAATTTATTTATTTAATTTATTACACTCTAATGTAAAATAGCTACCTTGAATAATTAGATTGTAACTTATATATTTCTTAACTAATTTATAGAAATTTAAGAATAAGCTATTCAGATGGCATACTAATAACCATAAGAAGGTCAATGGATTAAAGAACATGATAAAAATGAATGCATAATTTATTCTAAATTAAATCAAGTTGGAATAAAAATGACACGAACTGAACTCAAATTGAATGTAGATCCAAAAAAAGCTATTGATCTTATCTTTGATATGACAAAGAGATCATAATTTGATGAGAATTTCTTAGAAGTAATTTTATCTATTATTTTGAGGGCAAAATTGTAGAGAAAATAGACGAAGATAATGTTATTTATTATGGTGCTGGCAAATCTCCAATATTCTTAGTTGATCCAAGAGATATGGTTGTTCTAACAAGAAAAACTATCATCAAAGATGGTACTCATATTGTTGTTTGTTAAATCTTTCCATTTATTTTTAGCTAAATCTGTTTAATTAGATTCTGTTCCTAATAAGAAGAATTATACTCGTTGTGAAATTATTATTTCAGCATTTTTTATTAAAGAAATCACACCAGGAACTTGTCAAGTTATTATTATTGCTAATGTTGATCCAAAAGGTAGTATTCCAAAGATGTTAATTAATTCTGGAGTATCTATGCAAGCTGATGCTGTTAAAAAATTGATGGAAAAAATGAGATAATAAACTTTAAAAGTTTGAAAAATATATTTACATATATATATATTCATTAGATTTAGATTAATCAAATGAATATATATTAATTTAAGTAATAATTAAACATAAAAATTATATTTAATTATTTAATTTTTTATTGTACATTGTTATGAATTTTTAGTGTTATATATAATGGAAAAAATTCAAGATTTAAGATAGATAGTTCATATATTTTAAAGTCCAAAACCCTGAAATTAAAGTTTCTGATCAAAATTTTGATGTTTTTAACAATAAAATTAAGAACAAAAGAATTAAGAAAATTAATTTTAGTATGCTTAAATAATATAAATTTAATAGAAATAAAAAAAACTTTACAGCCTAAAATAAAAAGATTTTTCTTTTAATTAAAAATATGAATCAAAATCAAGTTGTAGAAGTCTATATGGCCAAGTAAGGTTAAATAGTTTAATCTTATTTGATTACATTGGTTGATGGGACAGGATCAATGTCAAATGAATATGAAGCAGTGATTAAAGCACATTAAGATGTGTTTTCATATTTAGGAAATTAAAAGATGGATTATCAATGGGAATAAGATTTGTATTCTTTTACTCCTTTCAGAAGTGCAGGAAGCGGAAATATATCAAAAACATTTAAGTCTATTTTTCAAAAATTATTAAATTAAACTTATCCATCAAACATCACATTTTTATTTGTAAGTGATGGATAAGAACATTTTCAAATAGATGAGATAAAGACCATGATTGATTAAGTGAAAAAAAATTACTTAATCTAATTCATTAGTGTAGCAGTAGGTGATTCTTTTCCAAGTCAAATAAGTAATACATTAAGAAATGAAATTCATAATTAAAACTCTAGTTGTCCAGCAGTATTTAAAGTAAATAGAAAACATTAATCATTTGAAGTTTTACATAAAGAATTTTATGAAATATTTTAAGAAGTTAAAAAATAATTAGATGTTTAAAATAAACATTTTGAAGTTAATTAACCTGTTTTTCAAACTTTAGTATAAGAATAACCTTCAATATTAGTTGCACCAAATGAACCTTTTTATAGAAAAGTTGATTAATAATCAGTTCCTTTAATAATAGAAGATGAAACAATTCAACCAACTGATGATCCAGTTAATATTTCAAAACTCATTTCTAATTCTGTAGAAAAAGAATTAATTATCACAGCAAGTGATCCATAACATGATTATAAATAAGGATTTAGCAAAATATCTGAATTAGGTTAAAAGATTTTAGATAATGCTAAATTTGATAACAAAGATTTAGAAATTAAAAAACAAGCATCATCTTAAATATATTTAGCTAATAATATATCAGAAGGTAATTTAGATTTAAAGAAAAATGAAAAGGAAATGACAGATTTATAAAAAGATATTAGAAATCCTATTAAACTTATAGAGTATGTTGAAAAAAATGCATAAGAAATTGATTAAATAGAATGGACTCAAAATAAAGCTAAGTTAAGAATGTAAGGTTAATTTAATAATACTAAACTTGGATGTTATGTGAAATCAAAAACTACATAGAAAGAATTAGATTTAATAGAATCTATTTGGTCAATTACTACTGAAGGTTTAAATAATCATAAAAAAGTTATTTAAAGAGATCCTTAATGTAATCTAAATACATTATTAATTGATTTAAAAACTTTATTGGATCATTAATTATTAAAAATATTTGATAAATAATCAATGAGTGAATTGCAGGAAAAACATTTAATTATTTTGAAAGAATTAAATGATACTTTAAAGGATATGAATTCTTTAATTCTTAAAAAGGATAAGGTAAAAATAAATGAAGTATTATAATTAATTGAAAAAAGAGCAAAACCTATTGATGAAAACAATATTAATTAAACAGGAGCTATTTTTGATTATACTGATGAATTTGCATTTTTACCAAAATCATTATAAACATTAATTAGAGATGATGAAGATGAATTAGAAAAAATGATTGTTATTATATTTGATGAAAATTAGAGTATGGAAAATGAAATTTAAGCAGCGAAATCAATTTATTTATAAGTCTTTTCTGGATTAAACTAAAATTTGAGAATAGAAATTTCTTGGTCAAATGGATAATTTTCACTTTTAGAAGATTAATAGTAAAAATATGGTTCACTTTTAGCAATCTTTTAAAAATTAGATCCAAATTATAATCTTAAAAATAAATGTATAAGCTTGTGTATTGTTACTGATGGAAAAACAGATTATGGTTCACTTCATAAAGCAACAAAAGAAATAAAATAGAATTAATATCTGATTAAACTTATTTATGTTACAGTAGGAAGCTATCTTAAGAATTATTTGGAAGGAGTGATTTTATCAAAATTCTAAAACAGAGAAGTCAAAGGAAAACCTATTATTAAAGTAATACCTAGAACTATATCTAATAAATTTGAAACTTAATAAGCTCTTAATAAATCAACAACAGTTCCCAAAATTGATTAACAATTTATCAAAGTTTTTGATGATATTCTTGCCATTATTTAGAAAGATAAAAAACCTTAATTGCTTTAGAACTAATATTGATACTGAATTATTTTCATAAATTATAAATATTAATCAAAAATATAAAAATTCTTTTTAGGTTTTCAATTTTGTATAAAATCAAAAGATTCGATATTATTTAACTAAAAAGAAGCTATCTTAATAGTCAATCAAACAATGCTAAAAGAATAATTAATAATATAAGAATGTTAATTCTTATTATTTTCCAATAACTGAGAATTTTCATAAACCCTAACTACGAAGAATTAAAAGCCAATAATCAAAATAATACAATTTAGAAAAAAATATTCAAATTTTTAAATTAAATATTCAGATCTCTATTAAAATAAAAAAAATGAATCCAAAATATATAGAGCTATTCTTGAGTTAAAAAAGGAATTAAGTCTTTTGGATTTGGTAAAATTTTAGCCTTAAGAATGGATAAGATAAAATTTTAACTAGATAAATTGTTCATAGTTATAAAAAGATTTGGAAGATTACTGTCGATTGGCAACAAATCTTCTAAAGCTAAAATTAACTGCTAAGATATATAATGAGCATGTTTATTGGTAATGAATATAAAAAATATGCCTCTGATAGTAAAAATAGGTAAAAATTAGTGCAAGGATATAACTAAACTAATGAAATTTAGTTTTGAATATTTTTAAAAGCCAAAACTAGTTTTTTATTCTTAAATACTTCGAGAAGAAATTAATTTGCTAAAATTTATTATGCTTGATTATTATTAAGCTTTTGAGTTAATATTGATATTAAAATAAATATCTGTTCATTAAATATCTTTGCTTATTTTACATTAAAATATTAAATATCAATTGAAGTTTATTAAAATAGATTAGATAGATGAATTATATGATAATCTTCAAAAATATTGGCAATTTACAGCTCCATTATTGTATAAATTTGAATTAGTCTTAGTTTTCTTTAAGTTATAAAAATTCTTTTTACACGAAACAAAGAATAAAAATTTTTAATTTTATCCGAACTATTAAATTCAATCAATAATTTTACTAATACTAATAAATTTCAATGATTGTAGATGAAATTACAAATTAGTATAAAGTATATTGAAAGCTTTCGTTTGCCCTATTATAAAATTAGATATGTTATTAATAAAAATTTCGATAGATAATAGCTTAAATAGTAATTTCATTTATAAATCAATTTTAATAATAATGTTTATAAATATTAAAATACTAAATTATTAAATAAAAAGATTTTTTAGGCATCTAATAACCGCCATACAATTTAATTGAATTATATAGTAGGATATTAAAGCTATTCTAATTAAAATTGTGAATAAATATTCTTTAAAAGATTTACTTAGAATTTTTAAGTTATAAAAAATCTGTTAGTAAATATTTTTATATATCAATATATTATATAATTAATTGATTTCTATATTAATTTCATTTTATTTTATGACTAGATACCTGTTGTTAATTGGAGAAAACCAAATAGAATATTATTTCTTAATTATTAATAATTTTTAATTTGATCAAAATTAAAATATTATTAATAAAAATGGATAGCAATTCTTCAAATTAAATTCATAAATGTGTGACTATAGATGATTATATAGATAATTTTTCAAATCAATACTCTAATCAGTCAAAACCGATAACCTAATAATGTTAGTATAATGCTGGAAGAAATTAGATAGATACTTTAAAAAATTATACAGTAGCGGCAGGTAATTATTACTATAGTTTTCCCTAATAAAACTTTCATTCACAAATAACTTCAACCAAATAAAGTTTAAAATTAGCTGATTGGGTTTGGCCAGGTGGTATCATACCATATATTATTGATAAATCTTTTACCCATAAAATGAGATACAATTTATAATAAGCAATTCAAGAGTTTCAAAATAAAACGCCAATTCGATTTGTAAATATTAGTGATGAATAATAATATAATCAATATGTAAAATATTACAGAAATAAAGAAAATGCAAGTTATGTTCTTTGGATTGGTAGATCATTAAAAGAAAGGGAACATGCTGTATACATAAATGAAAATTTTACTTATGGAACATATCTTCATGAAACTATGCATATTTTAGGATTTGATCATGAATAATGTAGATAAGATAGAGATAATTATGTAACAGTGTAATTCTCAGAATTAGATTCTCATAATTTAAGATTTTAATATTAGAAGAGAGGATTTATGATTGGTGAGTATGATCCCTATTCAATAATGCATTACTATTTAAATAGAAATATGACATCTAAAGATTAATATAAGTATATTACATTTGGATAAAGTACATGTTTAAGTGATGGAGATATTAAAGGGATTTAATTAGTTTATGGTAAAAGTTAATGTACATATGATGTATATGGTGATAAATATATGGAATAAGATTATTTTGAATGTATTACATGTTGGGGATCAGATTCTATATATGGAGCTTGCAGAGCTTGTGGTATTACATGTCATAATGGACATAAATTGATATTAAAAAAATCTAAATCCTTTTTTTGTGATTGTGGTAGGTAGAATCATAAAATACAATAATAATTTCAGAATTATATATATGAACCAAGAAAATAATTAAGTGAAGTAGATTTTAAAGTCAATTAATAAGTTTATAGATGCACATTTGATATATATGGTGATAAATATATCACATAAGATTATTTTGAATGTATTACATGTTGGGGACCAAGTTCTGTATATGGAGCTTGCAATACTTGTGCTATTACATGTCATAATGGACATGAATTGATATATAAAAAATCTTAACCCTTTGTTACTTTTGTTTGTGATTGCGGTAGATATAATCACAAAAACCAGTTATGTACTAGATAAGCTACATAATTCAAAAGAGTATAATAATTAATGTATTTATGCTATGATTGTTTTGACATTGTTCATTATTAATACAACCATAATGGTAACATACCAGGAGTTTGTCATCCTTGTGCAATGAAATGTCATAAAAATCATAACCTTAGATTTTATATGTTAGCTTTTAATTTCTTTTGTGATTGTGGATTAGAAGATTGCTAAAAAATATGTATTGCAATATGAGAAAACAAATTTTATTTTTTTGAAGATATAATTTAAATTATATTTCTTATTTCTTTAAATTAATTTCAACTAATTTAATAATATAGTTTAATTATATCATTACATATATTTACCAATTATTCATATTTTAATACATGTCTATTGAATATTTTATAATTATAGTTTAAATAATTAGAAGGATTACATAAATAATGGAAACAATAGATATTGCAGAATAAGAATTAAAGGAATTAATATATGAGAATATATTGCTAATTGTTAGTAGATTATTATTGTTTTCCTGATTGGAAATCAATCTTCAGAAGAATGAATTGTAAATTTCAATGAGAAATGTTTAAAAGTTAATTTATTTTTCAAATAATCTCTTCAATTTATTATTAATTATTTATATTTAATAATTCTAAATTGAAAGAAACTTAATCTTATTATATTAATGATAAATAAACAAATTAATGTCATCATTTTTTTTTGAGCATCATCATTGGTTTTCTATATATGCTTAATATTAAATATAATTATGTACTTTGGCTATTAAATTTATTGATTTTATTGAGAATTATACTCATTTTAATCAATTAAACTTTTTGTTTCCTCTTCATGATTATTATGATGAGTATATTATTTTTCAATTGATTTATCAATTTAAGTGGATTCTTATACATCTTTTTTTTCAGTAGATTTTGATGTATGTTAATCAATGCAATCTGTTTAATATGTTTTATCTTTTTATTCTTTAGTTCTAGATTATCTTTAATTTTATTGCTATAGATCTAAATTTGGGATTGTTTCCTCAAATTATTCTTCTTTGATTATTTCTACTTTTTTTTAAGATAGACCTTTTCTAATTGATCCTTTTTCTGATTTTGGAGAAGGAGTATCTTTTCTTGGAGTAGTAGGTTTTTTCGATGCAGAAAAGATAGGTTTAGTTGATCTTTAAGAATTTTTATCATCCAATCTTAAATATCTATTTGCTTCATGTATAAAAATTCTATTAATTTTTGTATCTCTTTCTAATTTAATCATTAACATTCTCTTTTTTTCAATTTCATTTTTTATTTAATTTCTATCTGACTCTAACTTTTAAAATTTTTCACTATAGTTTTTCATTTATTCATCCTTTTTTTTTTATAGTTCAATTATTTCATCCACTAATTATTTCAATTTATTATCATCTATTTCATCATCAACTTATTTATTTTTCTTTTTCTAAGTAATTTTCTATTAAATATCTGTTATTTGTTTCAATTTCGTTACTCTTTCATTATGTAATTTTTAAACATTTTTTTCAATCAAATTGATTTCCTCTATTAATTATCTAGACACTTTTTACTCATCTTATAATTGTTTTTTAATTGTTACAATAATTAATTATTATTCCTTCAAATCCATTTATTTTAATCCTTCATTCTATTTTTAATCAATTCTTTGTTATGATTCATATTCTTTATATAATTTTAAATATTCATTTTCCAAATACCTTTTCTTATCTTCCTTCTCTTTTATTCTATTAATTATTTAATATTATTACTTATTTATATCAAATGTTTATTCTAACTACTTAGATATTAATTTGATTTATGCAATATTATCATTAATTTATTTTTCCTATTAATTCAAAATAGATTTCTTATCAGCTGGATCTTAAGGCTTTGCAAATTTCTTTTCCTTTTCTAACTTTTGTTTTTCTTTTTAATTTTTAACAATATTATCAAGATGTACTACTAAATCTTATAGTTATTCTTTTAATTTCATATTCTATTCAATTAATTTCGTAGGATCTATCTATTATATAATTTGTATATAATACAGTTTCATGTTTTTTTGAAACATTTTATTATTCTTTTGCATAGCTTTTCATTTTATCCTATTTTGTAACAGATTATTTATTTTCAATTTTTGACTTCTCAATCTAACTTACAGCAATAGAATTATTTTATTAAGCAGAACTTACTCTTGATTATTTTAAATTAGGTGATTGTGATCTCATTATTTATAAATGGTATAATATGATAAAAATATAAATGAAAACAAGTTCACAATTTTTTATCATTTTTATAATCATTTCAATATCAATTAGTATTTTTAGCCAATTTAATCAATTCTATGTACACTAATGTTTCTTTATCTAGAGGTATTTACAGATTGACTTCCAATTCTTTTTCTATTCCTTTAATAAAATAATGAATTATTTATTCCTCATTATCAGAAATCTAAGAAAATACATATTAAGTACTTTTGCACTCATTTATTAATGTAGTTTATATTGTCTTTTTGAAATCTAAACTAATTAAAATAAGATATCAGATATTTAATCAAAAAATGTTTTATTCATTTTAACTTGTTATTCTAAACGCTTAATTTGAGTAATAATTTTATGAAACGAGGGTATGTAAAATTAATGTTCATTTTTTAAAATCTCATTAAAATTAGATTTTATATGTTCTTCATAAAATGTATTAATGCGAGGTATTCTATTTTAATCTCTAAATAATATTGGCATTGTTCCTATATAATCTTTTAATAATAATTAGATTCCATATTTATATACTATAAACAGTCCTTCTAAATCATAATTGCTTTAAAGTTTTTCTGCTAATTCTATCCAATATCCTAATGCATCTTAACGATCATGTTTATTTGGACTTCTTACTACTGAATATATAATAAATTAAGATATTGTATTGATTCTTCTAAAATACTATATTTATAAATTAAATTTATACGTTATTTAATCCCCCTTTAACAATAACATTTTTTAATTATAATCCTGCATAAAACGATTAACTCATAAAACTCAATACAAAAGCTACTTCATCAGTTGTCCAAGGTAATACTGAAGTTCTTTTAACACGTTGAGTAACAATTTTAGATTGAAAGAGTCCTACTGATAAATAAGATCTAAAAGTTTCTGAACATTCCTTTAAAATTTACTTTTCATGAAATGGTTATATTATCTACTCTATTATTGTAATTAATTGCCATTCCACTCTAAATTCATTAATTCTTAATGTTATCATTAATACTATGAATTCAGTAATCGAATTGCAATTTGAAACAAATTATGACATGTCTTATTAGTTTTCATTTTAAATCCATTTCCAAATTAGAAAGAAAGTAAATGTGATAAGATTTGTAAAATAATCTAAAGTGAGTACTAGTTTTCTTTTTAATTTACAATCATCATCATTAAATGCAGTAAGTAATAATGAATTGAAAAGAGATTCTTTGAAAAATTAATTAACTTTTAAACATTTTTCATTGAAATTTACAATCCATTCTTCTGAAGATTAATTTCCAATCAAAAAAACAAATTTTGCTTGCTCTGATAAGATTTCAGGATCTTGTAATGTAATTATTTATTACCTAAACGTTTTTAATAGTTTTGTAATAATGTTTCATCTGCAAGAGTTCTAGAACTATGAAGACTACTTGATGAATAAGATGAATCACATTAATATCGTTTTCCATCACTAAATTATTCATGTTCATCTGATATATTTGAATAAAAGCTAGTTGCATTACGTTGAGAATGTGAATCAAATGTTTTTGCTTTTATAATCTCGAGATCATTATCCTCTAATAATAATTTCAGAGGCTCTTTTCGCATCTTAATCTCTTACAAAAAGTATTTTAATATAAAAAAAATTTTCTCAAAAATAAAAAATAATATTTGTGATACCTACCTCTATAATAGTTCATCTCTATTCAATTAAACTTACATGATTATCTTACATTTATTTTTTATTACTATTTTTTATGATTAATCCTATTTTTATACCACAATTATTAAAATTACTATTATAAACCTTTATCAATTCAACTATCAATTATTGAATATAGCTTCTTGTATTAATTCTTTATCTAATAATGTTATTATTTGAATTATATAGCAATCATAGATTCTTTTAAGTTTAGATATTTAATATGAAGTTTTAAAAAGTATTTATAAAATATATTTAATATTCAATAAATGAATTTCCTTATCTTTCTATGGGAATATTTTCATTATTAAATAAATATTTAATGTTTATTATAAAGATATAATAATTTTTTTCATTGAATAATTATGTGAAATCTATTAATTTTTAGATCAATTTATAGAATATAATTTACAAAGAACACTCTTCTTCTTCAAAAATATTTGAGTAAAAAAATTATTAAAAAATACTTTATATTCTACATAAAAAGAATCGTAAAAAAGTCAATAAAAAAAATTTGAAGTGCAAATGGTTAATTAGTTGCCTTAAAGATAATTTATTTCTGCTTACTAAATTTTTTATAAAGAATAGGCTTAAATTCTGATGTAAAATGGAGTTGGCATTAATATGGTTGGTTCTTTATTATAAACTAAATGGGAATAACTAACTTAGGATAAGCAGAGACATTATCAAGAATTATTTGAAAATTTTGAAGTGAAATATTTAGAGTAATTAAATGAATTTAAAAAATTAAATCGAATGTTGAAATACTCAAAAAAGATTGAAAAATAAATTATAAAACCTAGGAAACCTTAAATTCCGTAAATAAATTATGTTATTGAAAATCGATATAAATATAATAGAAAATTATACAGCCAAACATAAATTTATATTGAATTAATTTAGGAATTTGGAATATAAAGATAAGAAGTAAAAGAATAGTTGGAATTAGAATATGAGACTAAATAAATAATATACAATGATGAAATGATGAAGCTGCTTAAGTAAATTAAATTATAATTTAATTATATTATTAGGCATAATTGTTAGAAGTATTAAGATTTGAAAGAGAAATTATAAAAGAATTTATAATAGGAAATGAAAGTAATAGAATCGAATTACAATGAATAAGAAAAAGAGAAATTTGCAGTAGAAATATAAAGTGATAAACACATAATGAAAAGGAAAGTAAGTTTAAGTGGCAATAAATATAAGGAAGTTTATATAAATAAAAGTGGAATTTCTATAAAAGAACTTAGTTTGAATACATTAGAAGAACCATAATAAAGAAAGACAGTTTTATGATATAGAAACTTGAATTTGAATTTTATATGTTATATAAATATAGATTTTAAATTTCGTAATGATACTATCTTTATATAATTATCTAGCATTTGAGTATAATATACAAAAGATAAATCAATTACTATCTTGATCAGATTATCTATGTTAAGCGAAATAACTTCTGGCATATTGTTTGGATCTCCAAAAACTTGTATCTAAAGTGGAAGATTTTGTCTTTTATGGATTAAATTTTTAGTGATGCGATCTTATATTTATAGGTTCTTACCTGCATTAACTTGGTGTTCGAGTGCCAACAACTTAACTCATTCTCTTGAACAATCTTTAGCCTTTTGTGTGGTTAGCATTTTCTAATAAAAAATTCAGATAAGTATTGTGTTCTATTTAATTCCAGTGACCTTGTAATCTGCTGATTTTCTTGGATCCTGTCTGTAATTCACAGGATTACTTTGTAGCTTCAGAATCATTTTAAACCATTAATTAGATTTAGAATAAAAATAATAATAACTTAATTTCTTAAGATCAACTCAATATTAATATTATGATTGGTAATAACATTTAAAAATTCTAAATCTCTTAAAACTTATGATTCAGGAGAAATTACTAGTTAATTAAAATAGCTTTTAGAATTCTTGAGTTAAGTGTGCTACATACAAATCCATTACTCAACCTAAATACAAAAAATAAAAGAATATGGAATTATACGTAAATTAAAATCAAGCAAAATTTCATACAAAATCTAAACACTTTGTTTTTTTATTTGAAATCAATCTATAAATAAATAAGTTATTGTTGATTTTCTAGAAATTTTAATTTTAGTTTGCTTATGCAAAATTTACAGAAGATTAAGAAGTATCTTCTAAATATTCTTTATTATCAAAAAATAAATATCCTTGTTTTTATTCCTTAGATCAAATAAAATAAAAATTTGATAAAAGTTTTAGTCTCTTTTTCAAAATAAGATAAAGTTGATTGTTTGATTTAATTCATGAGAAAAAAGTAATTTCCATTTATACTTATTAAAAATCAGAATAAATGTAGTGCAAACATGATCATATTATTGATGAGTTTTTGTTTGATAAACTTATAAGCTTCATAAATCCTTGTTTAAAGTTTCATAAGGATTAATAGCAATTTTTAAAGATTTTTTTGTAATAAAAATAATGATAAAACTGTATAATTTTAGTTTTTGGTTATCATTTGTAAATGTATAATATTTTATTTTTATTTATATTTTAGATATAGATCCATGAAATATATTGATTTCTTTATTTTTGTTAATATTTGCTCTAATTTGTTTTTGTAGATATAATATATAAGACAAGTGTATATTTTGAGAATAATAACATAATTTATTAACATATATTGAAATTTGATTTGATCTTTGTGATAAAGAATAGAATTAGATTTAACCAAGTAAAATATCTTTCTATTTCTCTATAAAAATTGTATTATATATTGAAAAATATGAATATTATTGAATATTAGATATTAGAATAGAGACCTACAGAAGTACAAAGTCTTGACTTTTAAAATTTTGTTAGGTTTTGGAATAAAATAAATTTTCTGGTGTTTTTATTTTGCAATTAGAATAATGATGTATTATTGATAATAATAAATGGAGAATGGACATTCAATACCTATATTTTTGACTAAGCTTTATACAATAGTATAAGGGAATTAAGAATAAGAAATATTAAGATTTGATGAGAGTGGACGAATTGTAGTAATAGTAGATTAAGAGAGATTATAATAATACTTGCTTCCAGAATATTTTGGACATAAGAATTTGCCTAGTTTTTTGAGGTATATTATGATATATTAGGATAGATAATTAAATATGTATGGATTTAAGAAAAGACACAATAATGGTGTGTTAGAATTTAAACATAAATATTTTAGAAGAGATGGGAAGTAGGGATTGTTATTTAATTAGGATAATTTTTAAATTAAATAAAGAGAAGAAATGAGATACAAATAGTGGAATAAATTCCTGATTAGGAAGACATCAACACATAAATTGAATAGATTAGATAAACATAATAAAGTTTGTAAAGTCTAATTTAAGATGCAGCAACACAAAATTTAATGATAATGAATATAATTATGCATTAATAACAAGTAAAAGTTGAAATAATTTAAGTAAATGGCAGAAACAAGTACGGCTAATTTTGTTAGATTTTCTCATTTAAGTGATTTGATTTAGTAGGTGGTTTCGTATTTCTAAATTAATACTGGTAATGAGATTGAAAGTACTCTTGCTCATCAAAGAAAAGAAGCTTAAAAAGGTTTGGAATACATTATAGAAGATACGGAAAAATGATTCTAATATATGAATTAATTAAAGTGTTGTAGGGGAAGCAGATGCAATGACAATTAATTGCAGGTAACAAAGTTGTACAAAAAAGACAAATATGCTGCTAAACTTGGAATCACAATTTCTTGTATTGTCTTTTTAAGGTTTCTAACTTTCCTTTTCTTTTTAAATATACATATATATTTTTACACCGGGGTACTCAAAGGCTTGTTTGATTCCAAGATTTTTAAGTATTATTTAAAAAGATGACAACCATTGAGGAGTGCCCTGTCTTACGGCCAACACCCTAAGAGTTTGAAAACTTCTATCATTACATAGAGAAAATAGATAAATAATATTCGAGCAATTATGGGATGGTGAAAGTAAATTATATAATTTAAATTAATTCAAAGATCATTCCCCCAAAGAACTTCCGAATTAGATAGCAAGATTACAATAAATCTCTTGATAATTTGATTATTTAAGGTCCTATAGAATAAAACGTTTATGGTAAGGGTGGAAACTATGAGTGTTTACATATTTTAAAAAAGTCAATGCCCTTGAAAGATTATAAAGCTAAACAAACAGAAATAGATAAACAACATGAAAGACTAAATTCAGATTAACTTGAGAAGCTTTACTGGAAAAGTTTAGCTTTTAGTCCTCCTCTTTATGGAGCTGATATTAAACTTAGTCTTATGGATGTTGATAATTCATGGAACCTTAACCAAATTACTAGTTTATTGAATTTTGGACTTAAGAACCGTATTCCAGGAGTCAATGAACCATATATATATGTAGGTTCATGGAAAACATTCTTTGCTTGGCACAAAGAAGATTTAGATCTTTGTAGTGTAAATTATTTACATGTTGGAAAAGACAAGTATAATTTTATTATTATAATAATTAGGTTTTGGTATTCAATACCTGAAGCTGATAGTCATCTTATTGAAAAATATGCTAAATAGATTTATGGAGATCATTTTAATAAATGTTCTGAATATTTAAGACATAAAACAACAGTTATAAATCCTTATTTACTTAAAGAAAAAATACCTGAAATAAGAATTTCTAAAATGGCTCATCATTAAGGTGAATTTATGTTTATCTTTGCTGGAGCATATCATTAAGGATTTAATTGTGGATTTAATATAGCTGAAGCAGTAAATTTAGCTACTTTGAATTGGTTACCTTTACTTTTGGAGGCAAAAACATGTTAATGTGTAAAGGATAATGTTAAAATAGATTCAGTAAATTTTGCTGAAAATCTAAAACGTTCAAATAAATTTAAGGAAGATGAAAGAGTAAAGAACTTTTTAGAGAAAGCTAAATCAATGTAAAAAATACTAAGAAAAAACATTAAGAAAATAAAAATATGATTTAATTAAAATAACTATTATAGAAATATTTTATAAATTTACTAATATATATTATAAATTGGTGATAATCAATTTTCTTCTTCATATGATTATTCATCTTTCTTTTAATTTTAAAAGGGGTCAATTTTAATATTCTTATCATAATTAATTTTAGGTAAGAGATCAGAATCCTAACTATCTCCAATAATGTCTTATTGTTTAGATTTCTTAAAAATAATAAGATTAAATTAAATACATCTTTCAAATCTTTAACATGTCTGTTTAAGAGTGGTTTATTAGTTAATTTGATCTATTCAGAATTGAGTTTATCAAAAACATTCTACTCAAGTACATTAGCAAGGATAGGAATGGTATAAATAGAATGTTTAGACATGATTTAAAGTTCATCAGAAAACTTACCAATTCTTTCTGCATGAAAATGTACGAATACTTCTCTGATTAAACCAAGAGAGATCTACATAAATAAATAGATAATACTGAACCCATCTATTTCATAAGAACTTTGATATTGTTATTCAAAGGTTATTTAAGAACTATACGTTAAGCCATTATATCTTCATTTTTTACAGATATCTTGAATTCATAAGAACCTCCTTGTTTAAGTTCACCAAAATTAATACTAATAGGATAAATTAATAAATCCTTTTTTAATCTATCATTTATATCACTAGTCACCATTAAATTCTTTTTATCTATAAGATCATCTATATTATTTTTTTTATCTAATGTTCTGATAATTGTTTAATGCATTCCTTCATTTCTTAATTAACTTATTGGAGCAGCTTATTAATAAACTCTTGTAGCCATAGAACTAATTTTTATTCTATTATCAGTTGAAGCATCTGTAAGAATATACTTCTAGTTCAACTCTGATTTTGGATTTGTTTTTAGAAGACAAGGAACTAATTTAGAATCTTTTCTTTCCTTTCCATAAACATCAAAATCTTTCTTTTTTACTTATCTATATCTGATAGAATCATCAAGTAATTTTCTTTATTTGACTTCATCATCAATCTCAGCTTATGTGAATACTGAAGGTTTTATAATAACTTTCGTAAGATTATTAGTATTATTATATTATGGAGAAGGCAATTATGGTTATTCTAAAGGTA